ATTGTTTTATATATACACGATAATGAAGTTTTAGGTATTTTATTGTCCCAAGGGGCCGTTCAAGTATTACGTGAGCACTATGGGGGGGGGCGGGGGGTTCTTTGCTTTGCTTATTTTGGATGACTGGGGGGTAGGGGAGTCTAGATGATGATTACGTCTTCGGTAGTTATTTACCTTTTTACACGAATGACAACCCTCACATTGTCTTTGCTTGAAAACGCATTTTCGGGGATTCCCGCAAATAATGCATACGTTTAGTGAACAGCGCCCGGTAATTCCCCTACTCGCTTTAGAACCGAGTAGGGGAACTACAGCAATGCGAAATTAATGAAAACACAGATAAACAGAGAGCAAAACCTTCTCAGGAACAGCAAAACAGTCTTTAAACAGGAAGGTTCAAAACGCAGTTGCCCAGAAGAAACACAGGGATGGTATGAGAAGAAAGTTAGAAGATATTTGTCATGAAAAGGGAGGGGGTTAAGAGCTTTCCTTACTCTTGCTGACAAGAGGGATGGGGAGGTAAATAATTGTAATAATTCTGCTTACGTAATACTTGAACGACCCCCAAGCTATTCGAACGTTGACCCTTCCGGTAAAAAACTACAACGATAAAACTAAGAAAAAAAAAACTCCGATAAATAAGGTTTTTGAGAGTTGGAAATCTGATTTTTTTGAGGCTTGCTGCATACTTTGGCTTGACGGAGGTATTGAAGCCTCGACGGGGTGAAACGTTGGTGGTTTCGTCAGTAGCAGGAGGCGTCGGAAACTTTGCGGCACAAATAGCGAAAAAAATACTAGGATGCAATGTCATTGGAATCACTTCAAGGGATAATAAAGCAAAATGGTGTAAGGATCGGGGAGGCATTGATCAAACGATCAGCTACATGGATCAAGATGTGGTCGAGCAATTGAACAAATTTGCTCCTGAAGGTGTCGACTATTACTTTGATACTGTGAGTTTGGCTCGAATTTATACACCACTGCAAAAATTTGAAAATTACGTAAATATCGAAAATGTTGGAAATTTAGATAATTGAAGAGTATTGAAATGTATGGAAATTTTAGAGATTTTCATCATTTTGAAAATCTTGGAAAGTAACGATTTTGAAAGTTTCGCAAATTTTGAAAATTATGGAAATTATAACATGCCTATCGGATATTTTGAAAAGTGAAAATTCTGTAAATATTAAAATTTTTGTAAATTATGAGAATTTACAGTTTGATATTCTTGAAACATTCTAAAATTACAAAGAAGCTATTTTTAAGAAACTTGAATACGTAATTTTGAAAATTTTGTTAGTTTTGAAAACTATAAAAATCTTGAAAATATAGAAAATCCTGGAAATTTTGAAACGGGAATTTTGGAAATATAAAAAAAATTTCAAATACTTAAAATTAATTTGAGTTTTGAAAGTCGCCAAAATTTACTAATTGTTAAAAATTTTCAAGAATTTGAAATATACAGGGTGTTTCAGTTTATTGTTGCATAACTTTAAGGTTCGATAGAACTTTTAAAGTTAATGCATAAAGTCTATATAAACATGGGTCGAAAAATGCGTGGCTTCCGAAATACAGGGTGTTTAAATTTACTTGCAAGTTGCACTAAGAAAAATTTTTCGGTGATTTTAATACACTACAGGTCCAGTAGAGAGCGCCCTCTAACGGCTACAGTAAAACTATGCCGATTGTTTGTCGTACCAAAAAACCCTTGTATACAAATTTTCACTGTTATACATCAAATATAGTTCGAAATATTTAAAAAAACTATTTTAGAAAGTAAATTTAAACACCCTGTATTGCGGAAGCCACGCATTTTGCAACCCATGTTTATATAGACTTTATGCATTAATTTTAAAAGTTCTATCGAATCTTAAAGTTATGCAACAATAAACTGAAACACCCTGTATACTGTATAATATATGGCTGAAATCTCAAAAAATCAATATGCAATTTTTGGTAATTTGAATATTTTAAAAATTGTGAATATGTTCAGAACTCTCATTGCAATAATTTTGAAAATTTTGTTAAGAATTATGACAATTTTGAAATTATGGAAATTTTGCAGATTTTGAAAATTGCCAAAATTTACAAATTGTCTTTCAAGAATTTTAAATGTTTGAAACTGAGGTTATGACATTCTTAAAACTCTCTAAAATCTCGAAAAAGCAACATGCAAATTTTGAAAATTTTGAATAGTGAAAATTTTGTAAATCTTGAAAATTTTGTAGATTTTTGTATTCAAATTTTTATGGAGAAATAAGTATAGCTTATTTCGATATTTCAGGTTGGTGGAGATATAGCCAATTCTGTTTTGTCATGTATGAACGATAACGGAAAGATAGCTCAGTGCGGAGCGATCTCAGGATATTGCAACGATGTACCAGGTAAGATACAGTGTTAATCAAAAATATGTGCATGCATTTCTATCCCAAATTATAACAACAGGAGATCAGCGTCCATAAGAACGTAATTCGGACCTGAAAACTCAAATTTATGAAATGTGTGCATGTAATTTTAACCGTTTTCCTTTCAGCCCACCTGAACCAATTGGAAATAATAGAGAAGGAACTGAAAGTCGAAGGCTTCCAAGTCACCAGATGGAAAGACAGATGGTTTGAAGCTATCGACCAATTGTACAGTTACCACGTTGGAAAAAGAATGTCTACTTACCCACCGGTGTACGCTGCAGGTTTCGAATCGATTCCGGACGAGTTCATTAGACTTTTCAGAAGCTTCAACGTTGGAAAGGTTGTCGTTATCGTTCCGTCAAATGTACTATAACCATATTCGGTTATACTGTTTATGCTATTTCTATTACCAATATTAATAAAGTTTTTGTAATCATACTCAATTATAAAATTACTAAACTATCGTTTTTCATTTCTTAACTTTCAAATCAGCAAGGTCGCGTTCAAGGTCACTATGAGATGATTCTTCTCAAGGTTTACAACTATATCGTACAATAATTTTGAATGTTGTAAACTTAGGAAATTATGGAAATCTTGGAAATTTTGGAGATTTTGGAAATTTTGGGAATTTTTGAAAATTTGGAAATTTTTGAAATTTTGGAAGTTTTGGAAGTTTTGGAAATTCTGTGATTTTTGAATATTTTGAAATTCTGGAGATTTTTGGAATTTCGGAAATTTTCAATATTCTCAATTCGATAATTTTGAAATTTTTTAAAATACTGGAGATAAAAAGTGAATCTTGAAAATTATGAAAATATTGGAAATTTAGAAAAGCGAAAATTTTGACAATCCATCTATCTCCAGTACAAACTTACAAAACTTTGGAAATGCCTCCTTAAAGTTGCAGTTTTTGAGATGCGTCTTTAATATCAAATTTTTTTGAAATCACCATTTTATATTAAACTAAATTTTACCGCATAGTCGCCAATTTTCCGATATTAGAAAACTTTAACCAATTCCAAGCAAACTTGCAAGTACCCTAATATAGCTGTTGTAAATGTAAAAACACGGTAAGTAAATATTTCTGTATTTCTAACGTTGTAATCTATGACATTTTATGTGTACAGTATATCAAAAATTAAATAATTAGTACTCTATTTAGATTATACCAAAAAATCAGAATAACAAATCCGCATTCCTATCCAGAACTTAACAAAAGACGTGAAAAAGATTGACGAATCGTGATTAGGTAGGTTCAATTAGGTACGATGAAACTTCGACCTCTGCATAAAGAACAAAACAAATCTCTGTTTCCATGACAGATGTATGACTTACGTCACATAGTGCATAGTATCAGTGAGATCAGCAGCTACAAGAACTCAATCGATCTACTTGATGAGATATTCAGAGAACCATCATAGACGTAGTAACACGAATTAAAGGTTAAACGAAATGGGCGGTACATTTAAGCATCACAAAATTCAGAAAAAATGTATGAGTATTAGATAAAAAGGCAGTTGAGTCATCATTTACAAAAACACCTATTACAAATTCTTAAATATACAGGGTGTTTCAGTTTATTGTTGCATAACTTTAAGATTCGATAGAACTTTTAAAATTAATGCATAAAGTCTATATAAACATGGGTCGAAAAATGCGTGGCTTCCGAAATACAGGGTGTTTAAATTTACTTTCTAAAATAGTTTTTTTTAAATATTTCGAACAATATTTGATGTATAACAGTGAAAATTGGAATACAAGGGTTTTTTGGTACGACAAAACGAACCATGGGCATAGTTTTACTGTAGCCGCTAGAGGGCGCTCTCTACTGTACCTGTAGTGTATTAAAATGACCGAAAAAATTTTCTTAGTGCAATTTTTTGCTTTTTGAATGAAAAAACTGATTCTTCGCACTTTTCAACATAAAAAATCGCTCCTGTGAGTTTTCGTTATAGTTAGCTGTTTTTGAGATATTTCGATTTTTAAGGTTCGATGCATTTTTAACTATTCATGATGAAATAACGTTAAAAAGTCAGTATCTCGATAATTTTTAGAAGTAGGCTGGGCCTGCAAACATTTTTGAAATTGAAAGCAGAATAAGGTTGAACGTCAATTAGTTGACAATTAGTTTTGTTGTCTGTTGAAACCTGAAACGTTTTTTTGCAATTGTGAATGCACGAAATTTAGTTACTTTTACCTGTTTTTTTTTGTAAGTTTTATAAAAATGCCATTTTTATTCTCCAATCAAGAGTTAGCGGATATTCATTTTGTGTATGGCTTTGTAAATGGAAACGCAGCAGAAGCAGCCAGAGAATACGCACGAAGATTTCCAAACAGGATCAAAGCATAAATGTTCGCCAGCGCAGATTTACCCGTATGATTCTGCGTGAGTTTGATAGAGATCCGCCACAAGTGTTAGGAGAGTTTCTGGTGCCTTGGGTATTTCAGCAAGCCATGTTCACCATGTTCTTAGAAATGACCATAGACGTAAAAAGCGGTTTCTTGCCGGTGGTGGGACCCCGTGAGAAAAGTTCTCGCGGGCGCCCCTGTCGAGGTTGGAAAAACCTGCGGAACCTGATTCCGAAAAAACGACATAGATCGTTTTTGCACTTCACGAATCTGACATTCTCGATCACCCTCCTTCAGTGACAACCTCCACTGGAAAAATAACTCCCAAACTCGGGATTTTGAATCAAGTGTTGGTATCAAATGGCACCGCTGTGGGCCTTTTTGACGGGTCAAAAACGGGGGATCCAAGTTAAGAAATGGGTTTTGAAAAGGAGAATGAAAGGTTTGCCCAAGAAAGGCGATATGGAGTTAAAATTCGAAACCCTACCGGAATTGCAAGAGGGTCGTGAGTACATCAATAGTCACTAGTAGTATGTATTGTCGAAATGTTTGTCCAGGTCAAATACGAATATTTCTGTTTTATATCGACAATTCCTACACGAATTTATTCAAATGGAGATTTTCAAGGTCATCCTGATTATGTTTTGCGTGACAGTAGACAACCACACAACAAATTCTTGCTAGAAACATTTCTTATATGTACTGGGTAATTTAATGTTAATTTTTTGTCAACCATTACTTGTATGACCTTTGCGTCTCAAGAGGCTCCTTTAAATAAAATAACGGTGGCATCATCATATTGAATCGTAATTCCATATATATTAAGATTAGTTAGTAAATTAATGTATATGATAAATAAATTGGTCCAAGAACAGTACCCTGTGGATCTCCACTTCTAATATTTAGATGCTTACAACGTCAATGAAGACGAAATTGATATCGACTGTTCGAAAATCGGAATAGCGTTTCAAATAGTACGGCTGTTTGCAAAAAATGTGGACAAAATAATATTACTTGTTGTATTGTTATCATAATCAATGACAAGTAATACAGTGCCATATCGTATAGAATATGCACACCTCGGACTCCAAGATACACTTTACGTTTACAGATTATTTTAAAACGTCACACTATTCGAGTATACAAATTTTTTACACTTTTGGCCGGGTCCTGAACTACGACTATGCATCGCCACGTCGACACATAGTTCACGGAGTATTCCACCTCCAACGACAACGTTAGATTATCCCGAAATGAAAGCAAATATCAGATCTATCCCTGCTGACATCAAAAACAACGATATTTCCGGAAGAAGCAATTTTTTCGTTCCTGTCTCTGTTTACCACTCTGCTCCTTTTTTTCTAATTCTCCTGGTTTCGCACAGGTACAGATGTAAGTCTGTTAAAAAAAAATAATAGGAGACTCTTTTATTTTTAACTGTTTCGATATAACTGATCTAGCAGCAGTATCTCATTATATATATTATTTTCAGAATATTTAGCTAAAGCTGTCTACTTCAGTGTCGATCCAACCTTGAGACTCATTATAGATACATTGGCGCTTGGTTCTGTCTTGCCCTGTGCCCAAATAGCTAAGTACGTATTATTAACTAAATGGTAAAATGATCCATGAAGGATTATGCTCGGCCCAAGTTAGTTTCTTGCAGCTAGCTACAAACATGCGTAACAAAACAATTGAATGGATCAAGTCAGCCAACAGGCCCATGTACAATAAGTATACGTATATAGGGTATCAATACATTAATTTAACAGACGATTGTTGGTGAAATTTTGAGTTAAAAAGTTCATATAAATGTGGTCCGCGGATCTATCGTTTAAAAGATACAAGATGTTGATATTAAAAAAAGGCTTTTCGTAAATATACAGGGTGATTCACGAAAAATGAAACATCATACACAGGACCGCATTTGAAGGGGGTCTTCTATGTAATTTTTTTTCCTCGAGGGTTTCATTAAGGAGATATTTAAAAATGAGAAACATTTTTTTAATATCTTCAAAACCGTCAACTGGAATTAACCAAAATTTGGTATGTGGATTTAGCTAAGTAGTGTCCATATTCAATAAAAATATTACGCCAGTGTTCCTTTTCGAAACGCGCAATTTTTCTAATTTTACCTTTAATTCGCTACAAATAATTACTCTTGTGTTTTCGTAAATATAAAACAATTTAGACCATTCATGACGAGCCGAGATACATTTAGTTTCAAAATAAAATAGGAGGCCTTGTGTGCATTTTTTTATGCGCAAATACAAATACAACTTCTTGACGACTGTCAACACGAACGCTGGTTTCATCTCTGCCTTAAGTATGGACCATCTGGCAACGCTGCTGGACCACACCAGTCAAACACGTTACAATATTAAAAAACATGAAAAGTAGCTAAAAGTGTATTTTAAATGCATATAGCATTTTCCTTGCAATGCTGAGTATCATATGATATCCAGTTTATACATTACAATTATTATAATTTTTGAATACGTTGAATATTTTAAGGATACGAGCTAGTAAAAACAAAAACTATCCAGTCGGAGCTTATGTTCATGGCTATTTTGGATGGAGAACGTATACGATCGATGACGGATGTTCCCGCGAAAATCCGACATACCTTCTTCCCACATACCTCAATGCCGAGTTCGGAGAAGACGACCCTGATTATACAAACGCAAACTTCAATAGAATACGTGCTTCTTATGGATTGGGAATTTTAGGAATGCCTGGGTAAGCATCTTTCACTTCCCGTATCATATACAGGGTGGAATTTAATTGATCGCTGAATTTTAAGAATAATTCGTTTTCTTAAAATTTGTGAAGTACAGACTGACTCTTCTTGACGTCGTTTTTCAGGATCGCTGCATACTTCGGTATGATGGAGATATTGCATCCTCAAGAAGACGAAGTGGTAGTAGTCTCTACCGCTGCGGGTGCCGTCGGAAGCATGGCAACGCAAATAGCAAAAAATATACTAGGATGCAAAGTAATTGCGATCACGGGGAAAAATAGTAAAGGAGATTTTTTGTTGGACTACTACGCTATTGATGATTACATTAACTACACGACGCACGATGTGGAAGCCAAACTGAATATTCTCGCTCCTGAAGGGGTCGACTGTTATTTTGATAATGTGAGTTTACGTCTTTGAACGTAGGGAAAAGCGTACCTCTGAATCGGCGATTCATTCCGTAGTGTTCCACCTCTGCCAAGTGTGAATAGTAGCTTAGGTGTCACGCCACGACGTAGTGGTGCTCGCTCGCGGATTACGTGACGATTTTTTGTATATAACTATACAGGGTGTCTCGCATGTAGAGCTGTGATCGATTACTCAAAAAGATGACATGTAAAGTTTTTTCATATAATATAATAATAATAATAATAATAATATTTATTCACTCAATGTACAAAGATAACAAACAATATGAGTAAATAAATATAAAATCAAAACAGGCCCAATAGAAGGCATCGCCTGTACATGGACCACTAATTTAAGTTGAAACTGTAGAATGCAAATGACAAAAAAGGACAAAAATTAGCTACAGTAGATTATGTATTTAGTTGATGTTCGTATTTATGAGTTTATGAATTTCAGTCCCAGATATAGAATGTAGCCACTTTTTTAAATTTCTTTTGAAACAATTTCCGAAACGTAAATCTTTTAAGTCTTTAGGTATAATTTCATAAAATTTAGGCGCTAAATAGAGATATGATCGCTGCATTATAGATTTATGCGGTTGAGGAACTACTGTGCCACGAATTTTGTACCTGGTATAATGATTATGTTTAATTTTTTGGTCGGTGTTTACAAATTTATGGTAGTGAGTGATACTGTGTAAGAAATAAAGCTGTCTTATATCATACATTCGAACATCTGCGTATAATTTTTCAGTGGGATAAAGTTTCGGTTTCCTAAATATCATTTTTAGAATACTTTTTTGAAAAACATCTAAATTATAGATATGTGAGGAACATGCAGCTCCCCATGCTAATATACCATATGTGAGATGAGGCTTAATCAGTGCATGGTATAATGTTCGAAGATATTTTTCAGTCAATATATTCCCAAGGTATTTAATTTTGTAGGATACAAATCTAACTTTCTTTAAAATATAATTGACATGGATGTCCCATCGTAAGTGAGGATCCAAGACCACTCCAAGGTATTTTATGTTGGGCACTCTATTAATTTGCATTTTTTGATCATTAATATTGAAGGAGAAATTTGTGTAATTTGGCAGATGTCTAGCATAAGATCCAAATGGTAAAAAATGTGTTTTAGAGTAGTTAATGCTTAATTTTCTACTGTTAAACCACTGAATAATTTTGATAAAATCATTTTCAATTACATTTTTCAGATCAGACCAGTCAGTGCCTTCATATAATATTGCAGTATCATCTGCAAAACTAGTTATTTTGCCAACACAATTAATTTGGAAAATATCATTTAAATATATATTGAATAACAGCGGACCTAAGACAGTTCCTTGTGGGACACCACACTTAATATACATTTCTTTACTAAATGATCCTGATATCTGCACAGATTGTGGGCGATTTGATAAATAACTCTCGATCAGTGAGTACGCGTTTCCTCTGAAACCAATTCTCTCCAATGCTTCTAATAATAATTTGTGATTAACTGTGTCGAAGAGATGAAGAGACGTTACTCTAGAAATCCAAATTGACGTGGAACGCTTTTTCCAAAATATATCAAAGAAAATCTGTTAAATATTGTACTTTGATTGAGGTTATAAATGCATTTATATACAGGGTGGCGCATCGAACAACAAAAACCCTGTATAGCTCGATGCGTATAGCCGATGTTGAAATATCCCAAACTTTGACTAAGAAATGAAAAATGGCGTCCGATGATTTTTTCTCGTATTTTGGCAAAATGATTTGAAATGGCTCGACCTGTAGCAGCAGGCCACATCCCAGATTTGGATAACAAACAGTACAGGGTGGTGAAAAAAAGAAAAATATAATTAGCTTTTAGTAAATTCGTTGTAATTTTATGTTTCAGGCTGGTGGAGAGATATCCAATGCTGTTATTGCAAATATGAACAACTTCGGAAGGATAGCCCAATGCGGGGCAACATCGGCCTACTGTGGCGACCGACCAGGTAAGATATAGGGCTGATCGAAAGTAAGTGTCGTATTAACACAAAAAATCTTGATCTGAGTGAAATTTATCAGGAAGTATGTCCATCTGAGATTTGTTTCCTGAAATGGGCTAAGGAATCGTATCCTGTATCTTCAGCTATCAATTAAATTAGACCAAATTAGGTTTTTTGCGCAATAACAATGTCGGAAACTGTAGGAGTGTCACCTTCAATTACAGTGGACCTCCGATAATCCTGCCCCCCTTGTAATCCGACATGTCTTTGAATATGTATTACATAAATATATACGTATTTGACAATCATCGCTAATGTAGATCACGCAGGTTTGAACAGGTTACAACTTGTACGCGCCACCGCTATCGTGCTCGACGCGTAAGCATCGTTTTATTTAGTTTGAATTTGACTACTGGTGATAGCGGTTCGGCCTGGCGTGCGTTCATTGTTTACTATTTATTCATTGTGTATTAAGTATAGTACCTAGTAATGTCATCACAAACTCAGAAGCGAAAGCACAAAACATTCACAATTACAGAAAAATGTGATATTTTAGACCGCTTAAATCGCAATGAAACTTTCAGTAGTTTAGCAAGTGAATACGGGGTAGGCCAATCTACAATTTATGACATTAAAAGAAACCACGAGAAGATCAAGAAATTCGTGTCGAATACTGACTGCGGGCCAGGTAAGAGACAGACACTCAAGAAAGCTGAACATCCAGAAGTGGAAGAAGCTTTGTACATGTCGTTTCTTCAGGAAAGGAATAGGCATGCACCAATTTCAGGACCCATGTTGGCCATGAAAGCTAAGTTTTTTTATAAGGAAATAACAAAGAAAGATGATTTTGTGGCCAGCAAAGGATGGCTAGAACGTTGTTTTAAAAGTCGTCATGGCATACGTTTAAAAACTATTACAGGAGACAAACTTTCTAACGGTGCCACCTGCATAGAGCCCTTTAAATTAAGATTTTTGCAAAAGGTGAACGATTTAAATCTTGACCCGTCACAAGTGTACAATGCAGACGAATCAGGGCTTTTTTGGCGTGTGATGACTAATAAAACTTTCGTTTCTTGTAACGAAAAATCCGTACCTGGACGGAAAGTAAGTAAAGAGCGTGTGTAACCATTCTACCATGTGCTAATCGCTGCGGGCACACACGCGCTTAAGATGATGGTCATTGGGAAATCTAATAAACCACGGGCATTCAAAAACATTGATTTAGCTGTACACTATTACGGACAAAAAAAATGCATGGATGACAAAAGACCTTTTTAAAAATTGGTTTGATGAATGCTTCGTACCTGAAGTTAGTGTTACTTCGGAAGTTATAGAACACAGATAAGTCCGGAAGATTTGGAAATCTGGCGCCGTGGAATGGATAAAGAGGAAAATTTTTTTCATGAAATGTCTGACGAAGAGATTATAAAAGAGGTTTCTAATTATACAACAAACAATCAGGAAAATAACGACGACATGATTGCAACTGCTCCACAAGTCACAGTACAAGACGCAATTAACCTTTGTCCTAGGTTTACAATGGGCTGAATAGAACGGTACATCCTTCAACGAACTTTCACTTTTAAGAAGACTGAGGGACAAAGCTCTGATCTCGCGGTATAACAACCTTAAACAAAACAAAAATATGTCCAAGCTTCATGATTTGATACATTCATTAATGATTTTGATTAATAATTCTTGATTATTTTCGTACACATGTATGTGCATTTATGCTTAATTTTATAATAAAACGTAAGCTCTCTATTGTTATTCAATTTACTAAATTCGACATACATAAACCATGTATGATCTGTACTTCAAAGTACATACATATACATAACATATATAATCTTACCATTGGATATGATATGATATGATTACAAGGTACTCTTTTGTAAAAAATTCCGGACTATAGGGGGTCTTAGGCGGTGCTCTATAATCCGACAAATTCGATAGTCCGACACTGCCATGCATAATGTTTGTCGGATTACCGGAGGTCCACTGTATAGCTTTAGCTTAGGTTTTTCTTTCCAGCTAAGATCAGTCAATGGCAAATCATTCAGAAGCAGCTGACCGTCGAAGGTTTCCATTGTACCAGATGGCACGACAGATGGTTCGAGGCGATGGATTCTATGCACAGATGGTGGAGAGGACACACATTGATGGGCGCAGAGACAAGCAGCAAGGGTTTTCTCAATTTCAGGGAGGCGTTTCGATACGTCTTCACGAACAGTTCGCTTGGAAAAGTAATTATCAGCAGAAAATAAACAATTGCATCGATAATTCAAGAGGTATTTTGTTTATTTTTTCTCCGATTCATTTTTTGTTTCTTGTAAAAACAGGCCATCTCGGATAGTTTTCGACAAGAAAAATGAAGATCCCAAGCACCTTTAAATTTTAGGTGTTCCAAATTTCATTCTAAACGCCGTCTTAGGAAATATATTTTATTATATATTAATATATTATAATTTGAGTCTAAAAATCCGTCGCACTTTTATATTTATTAAATCTATATGAGCAAAATTAAGCCTCTCCCAATACGCGCTTGTATGGAACATCCAACATACTATATTGTTGAAAAAAAAAAAACAAGTTGCGAAATTTTCTTGCGAATGCAAAGTTTTTGCCTCTAAAATAAAAGAGGAATGTAGATTAACTTTTATTATATTGTAATGTGGTTATAATGATTAAAAGGTGGGCGGGCGATAGAAGCGCGAGGTAACAAATAATTGTTTCTTTTATTTACAGCATAGTTGAAACCAATATATCATCAAGTAAAGCTTTGTTCTATTGTCAGCTCATAAAATATTTTACGTTATTGCAGAGCTAATCATTATTTAAGTCAATTTTCGAAGAAATACGTGCAAGGCTAATACAGGGTGCGGCAGAGAGGATGGACGGTTTTAAAAAATCATAAAATAGTTAATTTTTACTCGAAAACAAATGTATTGATGGAATCAGGTTCACGAGGAAATAGCATTTGAGACAGTCAAGTGTGGAAAATCACATCGGGCATGTGGTGGCCGAAATCGTTGATGCAGTGCTGGAGGCGATCAAAATGTCTGCTTCTATTATCTAAACTACATACCTGTATAAAGATCTTTCATTAAAATGAAATATATACGTAGAACAATATATTTTCATGAAAAATACTGAACGAACATTACTTGTACGATATTGTAAAACTAATAGTGCGTTCGTGAAAATATTTTCAATATAGCTGTAATGAGTTTTGTATCGATTTGAAATAAGTTAGCGAAAAACTTTACAATGTTGATTAAGCAACACATTTAAACCGCTGGGTTACTTATAAAATAATATTTTATATTTTACGTACTGCTGTGTCAGCATTAAAATTTCGTCTTATATATGTAAGGGAGTAGAAACAGTTCGTGGGAATAATTACGGCTTTTTATTGATTCGCCTCACAAGTAGCATGACCTTCTATAGCCCACCCACCTTATTATTACTACCATTATCTAGCATTTCTATTCTAAGCGCATAATTTAGTTCTTGTAATGATACCTGGTACCCAATTATAGAATTTATGGAAGAGTTTACTAGTTGTTTTATTTCTATTCAGCTAGATGGCAGCATAGGCCGTCTCCTAAAGATTCTCTACGTACCAGCAATCTCTGAGTAACTCCATAGCTATAAATATGGAAATCGGCGTAAATTAGTGGCATTTGTTCCTAAACACATCCATTTTGAATTAGCTGAGATTGACATAAAACGTCTATACTTCCATTATCTTGCTTTAAATCAGACTTCGCGACACTAAAGAATCTTTTGATGGTTGCACCACCCAGTGTACGGTTCTTCCAAAAAGTATAAAAGTGTAACGTTTGGATCTTTAACTAAAAAATTACCATAACAAAACTCCACCTTACAGAACCTGTCAACTGCCCATCATGTGTACTGGTGTGCACTTCGCGAACAGACTAGTTGAAAATTTGATGGCAGAACGTTATTCTTATGTAGAATCGTTCGTTCACAAACTAGTTCAAGGAACTAGTGAGCGCGGCCTGTTGAACTACTTTACCGAAATGAACCAAAAAGCACGCTACTTGTTGGAAATGTGATGCTAGAACATTATTCTTATATAAAATTATTCGTTCGAGAACTAGTTCAGGAACTAGAGAGCGCGAAATATTGAACTAGTTCATCGAAATTAACCAGAAAGCACGCTACTTGTTAGAAATGTGATGCTAGAACATTATTCTTATATAGAATAGTTCGTTCACGAACTAGTTGACGGAACCAGTGTGGGCGGACCGTTGAACTAGTTCACCGAAATGAACCAGAAAACACATCCAGTTGGAAATATGATGCTAAGAATTATTCGTTCACGGACTAGTTCAGGAACTAGTGAGCGCGACCTATTCAACTAGTTCACCGAAATGAACCAGAAAACACACTACTAGTTTCAAATGTGATGCTAGAACATTATTCTTATGCAAAATGGTTCGTTCACGAGCTAGTTCAAGGAACTAGTGAGCGCGACCTATTGAACTAGTTCACCGAAATGAACCAGAAAGCACGCTACTTATTGGAAATGTGATGCTAGAACATTATTCTTATATAAAATAGTTCATTCTAGAACTAGTTCAGGAACTAGTGAGCGCGACCTATTAAACTAGTTCACCGAAATGAACCAGAAATCACGCTACTTGTTGAAAAGGGATGATAGAACATGATTCTTATATAAAATAGTTCGTTCTAGAACTAGTTCATGAACTAGTGGGCGAGACCTATTGAACTAGTTCACCGAATGATGAACCAGAAAGCACGCTACTTATTGGAAATGTGATGCTAGAACATTATTCTTATATAAAATAGTTCATTCTAGAACTAGTTCAGGAACTAGTGAGCGCGACCTATTAAACTAGTTCACCGAAATGAACCAGAAATCACGCTACTTGTTGAAAAGGGATGATAGAACATGATTCTTATATAAAATAGTTCGTTCTAGAACTAGTTCATGAACTAGTGGGCGAGACCTATTGAACTAGTTCACCGAAATGAACCAGAAAGCACGCTACTTGTTGGAAATGTGATGATAGAACTTTATTCTTATATAAAATAGTTCCTTCTAGAACTAGTTCATGAACTAGTGAGCGACACCTATTGATCTAGTTCAGCGAAATGAACGAGAAAGCACGCTACTTGTTGGAAATGTGATGATAGAACATTATTCTTCTATAAAATAGTTCGTTCTAAAACTAGCTCATGAACTAGTGAGCGAGAACTATTGAACTAGTTCACCGAAGTGAACCAGAAAGCACACAACTAGTTAAAAATGTGATGCTAGACCATTATTCTTATATAAAATAGTTCGTTCTAGAACTAGTTCATGAACTAGTGAGCGAGACCTATTGAACTAGTTCACCGAAATGAACCAGAAAGCACGCTACTTGTTGGAAATGTGATGATAGAACATTATTCTTATATAAAATAGTTCGTTCTAGAACTAGTTCATGAACTAGTGAGCGACACCTATTGAACTAGTTCATCGAAATGAACCAGAAAGCACGCTACTTGTTGGAAATGTGATGATAGAACATTATTCTTGTATAAAATAGCTCGTTGACGAAGTAGTTCAGGGAACTAGTGAGCGCGACCTATTGAACTAGTTCACCGAAATGAACTAGAACACATTACCAGCGTAAGTCTCACGTTTCAACTGACTTAATCGGTAACGTATTACGCTTTACTCTCATATTTCAAATCCTGTCATTTATGTTGATATAGATCGTGTGACAACTCAAAACAAAATCAATCAATTATTTCAAATGATGTCATAATCGGTCAAATTGTATAAAGTACGTACTTGTAGTGTTTTCTGAGTCGTTCGTGCTTTTTTAAGACGTCACAGTTTAACAGATCAATTTGCCCTTTTCTAATCAATAATCTCAAATACAAAGAAACGCGTGGCCGTCAATTTTCAAGGATGTTCGGAAATTTATAATTCATAATAAGCCGAAGTTTGTACGTTGCGAATAGCGTGGTTCTAGTCGGAAGTAGATACCTGCTGCACTTGAGGAGTCAGTTTCGTGAAAGTTCGCGCAAATTGAGACTAGAGGGACTGTACACAATGGCTGGGGAGCCAATTTATGTAACTAACGAGCTTCGAGCTTAACAGGACATCGACGGCTAGAAGGATACTCGTGGATAATTGAAATGTGATCCAGTAAATGGTACGAATCGAAAACGGTAACAAATATAATATTCATCCCTATTATCGTTACTTGTTATTATAAATGAGAAAGTGGGGATGTTACGTCAAAATGGTACAGAATACTATTCGAATACAGTTGGCTGTTTGGCATTTGCGAGGAAGTTTGAAACTTCCGCCGTTTAGGTACTCGTAGATTTTTAAAATTAAACATAGTGTTACAACGTTTCATAGATTCCTGACCATTCCATTCCATTTGGTGTCAGTGTTAGACAAGTTTAAAGTGCGTATATGTTTTTTAGTTCGAATATTCAAAAAGTTATATTTAAATGAATCAAGGTAATCAAAACAGCGATATCCGAATACTTTTTTCCATCGTATTCGAATCTTGAGTATTCGTCGGTCCCTTTGATCTTCGTTCGGCGCGTTCCCTACCTGATTCCATGGGCGTCCGAAATAATTTTTCCCAGAGGCGGTTACGCTTTCTAAGTTGACGTCGCGAATGTGATACGTCATTTAGGTAAAGCTAAACGTCTGTTATCTAAAATGTATCAAGAACAAATATTTCAATCCGCCAACTGCTAGATGGCGCCGTCATCGCTCACCTAGACAATATATTCTTCGTCTGATAATCTTCAAGAAATGTGTGATCCGCAAAAGGAAGGCAAGCAGCACAGACAGAATGGGATGAAACACATAAATGGACGGTGATAGGTAATTCTGTATACGTATAGAAACACAACTTGCGTTGCGTTACTATGCAGTATTGCATACAGGGTGCTTAAAAATATCGGCCTCCCTTTCCGTCTCAGAAAATGCTCATCTAACAAAACAATGGACCGGAGATCCTTGATCATGACCGACTCCGCGAGCTTCAAGGTCACTTGCTAACTACGTATGGAAACATTGAAATTTCACATTTGTAGCTGACTTTGACGGTGAACTTCAGGGGTACTTATGCGTCAGCTTGAAACGTTGATGATAGTAGTATATCATAATCTTCAAGTTGACCTTTAAATGACCTTAAAGGTTCACGATCAACGTCAACTCCGAACTTGAAAGTTTTCCGCTCTGAGCGTCAAAAACAGACGGTTCCTTATCATAAAATTTTGTAAAGTTGACTTGACAATGTAGGAAAAAGACACGGTTTCCTTCAAAAATCACAAGTGGACTTCTAAATAAGCTTGCAAGTCGTAGCCAAGACCACTCATCTGAGACTCGAAGGGAGTACATTGCATGCTATGATTCTGTTGTTGAGGATGCAGGTAGCAGGTTGCAGTGTTCTTACCACATTCTGGTTGCGTCAAAGTAGGTAGGGTCCGCCACAACCAATAAAACAAACCCGTTACCCACTACCCAATGCTATCGGCTATTGGCTATTGCTAGTCACTATTCTAGGTTCACTTCAGAATGCATTTTTTGCTCTAGCTAAACGTGTGTTTGTGTTTTCCGCCGTCTAACCAGAATCGCGAGCTTTACAGATCTACAGCGAGAAATACGAGCCTGGCGAGGCCATCTAGTGGCCGAATTCCTCTCCAGTCTTAAGTGACAGGTTCCGATGTGCTGATGACAACACTTTGCACGCAGGACATGCGCCGTCGTGTCGGGTATTAGATGATTAAAGAATGCGTTTAAAGAAAAATGTTACAATTTTTAGTAGCTACATGCGTTTTAGAACATATTCTGGTTAGACGGCGAAAAATATTGTCGAAGTGCGTAGTGTGGATTGGGTGAGTTTTCTCTGTTTGGGTTGTATGATATCTTTGCGTTTTTTTTTTTTCGTTTTTTTTTTTTATGTTTATTTATCAATACATCCGTGACAAAAATGTGTAGAATATGAAAAAAAAAACGTAAAGACACTTTTAAAAAACCATGGATGTATATGTATGCAAAACAAAACGAGAAGAATCGTTATTGGGTTATGTACAAAATAAAAAAAAAATGAAAAAGTTTAACAAATTTATTATATACACGAGTATCTTGAGTCTCAGAACATTTAGAAGTAAAAGGAGGGAACTTTCTTAGGAAGGTATATTCAGGCTACAACTATATTTCTCTAAAGTTTTATCATGCCTCTATCTCTATGCCTCTAAAGTGATCCACTAAAGTAGCAAAACTCATCAAAACTTTAATAGATCATTTATTTTATCCTAGAAGAAGCACACCATCGTTGGTACAAGTTTATTCTTCAACTAAAAATTATTTACAGTGCCCATATAGAATTTATGACGGTTTGAAAATATTAAAATATTGATGAAACTATGTTGTAAAGCATTTTTCGAAGTTTCGAGCTTCTTGATACTCGACTACTTTACTCAGTCTAGGCTATTATACAGGGCCTTAATTGAGTATGTACCATTAATTTAACAGAGTGATTTGAAGACGAAAAGATCATACTTAAAAAAAATGCTTTGTTCTTAAATATCTCAAGAAACCTTTGGCTAATTTTGTTATAATTTGGCAGTGGTATTTATAACATTAAGGAGATAATCTAGCACTAACTTGTTTGAGTTTATCAGGTCCAGTGACGTCACAAGCGGGGTCTGAACGAATATTTGTGTTCTTGATTATTATTTACTATGCCCTCGTTTAGTAAAATTCATAGGTTTATACGTTAGTGCAATGTAATTTAATTTAATGTTCATTTGTTATAATAACGAGCAATAAAATTATAAAAAAAAATAATTTCGTTTGTTAAATTTATGGTAAAAACTTAACACCCAGTACTACCAATTCAAGTCTCGACCCTTTCTAAGAATATATCTACGAGTACGAATGATGAAATGTGTGTCGACTGTTAGTATCATTTTGTTTAGTGTGAAGTGTGCGTGTTTCTCTAAAAATTGTCACCTAGAAATTTTTGTGTTGGTAATGGACGAATTTACATTCGGAAAATTCGGGATATTAAAAAAATACTGAGTTTATTCAATCACCGTTATTTTTACACATCGATGTAAATTAAAATACAGAACTAGCCAAAATTTCAATTTGATGTTTTGTTTTTGTATAGAATCGAATGTTATTAAAGCTAAATGATTTCCTGTTTGGTAGACACAGACACAAATGATATGTTTATAAAAATATCTGTCTCGTTTGATAGGACTGTTGTTTCTCTAAATGGAGGATATATGCACTCCACACAGTTTATCTTAGCGATAGATAGACAGGATTCTACGAAAACTTCTCTTTCTCAAACGAAGAAATGATGTACGCAAAGACGGAAACTTTAGACTTGAAGCCATTACCAACACAAACACTGTACGGAAATTATCTTCAAAGCCAGGGTTAGTACAGTCATCTTAGTAAACGCTCCAACCATAATAATATAATAAAAGTTTTTAAACTTCGTTGTCTGGTAACGTTAACCGGCCAGAGAAGGCCTAAAACTCCGGATATTGACATTTCGTTATTGGTTTTTGAAGGTTCTATTCTAGATCAGATGAAGTCAAAAAAATTGCATTTTGGTCAAGAGAGGATGGATACAAGCATATGGTTTCTGGAGCACCAATATACAGGGTGTCCCAACGAAAATGAAAAGTATTGTTATAAGCAAACTGTATTTTATCAAATAGAATCGCCTAATTTTAATTTAACGGGAAATCCGATATATAACATATGATTTTGATTGTTAATTGCTCAGATATTTGGTGAAATATGCACAGCCTGGACGGCTCGCCAGCTCCGCCATACTTAAATAAACTTTATTTCAGAAAAGTTTTATTACCATCGATCTTTACCTAATCTGAAAGAAATGCTAAAACATCTTTCTATTTACACCTCAAAACGCATAATTGTACATTTTTCCATAAATTTCATATATATATATATATGCCCAGCATTTTGTGCAATCATCAAGTGGTTTCACGATGTAATGCTTTCATTTTAAATATTTTTAATCTGTTTTTAACATGTTCTTGTCATACAGCTGTGTGTAGTTTGTATAATTTTGACTATTGTACCATGTATCCAGCTTTCAACATGTTACTGGGTGTTTCCCTCATCGTCAACGTAAATATCATTTAGCAACATCCTCACATATGTTAATTTAAATTCATTCGCACAATTGCAGCTCCTGATGATGATGGCAAAGACCATTGAAAGCTAGAGAGATTAAAAAAGTATAAAGAGTCACGTTGCTTAAATTTTTGTCGAAGTACCCAACAAAAGTTATATATATATATATATATATATATATATATATATATATATATATATACGTATATATACAGGGTGACTTTGAAGTTGAGTCATTAATTTTCAGATAATGATTGTAGAAGGAAGATAAACCAAAATATGTGTGTAAAAATAGAAAAAAATAAAAAAAAAATAAGTATCCTCCCGACAAGTATTTCAGTGCGGACCTGTATTTGATCGTGAGGTCTTAGAGCACCGGCATGCCGTCCCCTGTGAGGTCTTAATCACCTGATTCACGAGCCCGTTGTACTACATTAACAAAGGCACTAGGGGTTGGTTGCACTCGATTGGGAAACAGATCCGCATAAACATGTGCCATTTTTTATTTCGTTTGAGCCACGTAACAGACACCACTATTCACTCACGCGTTACCGACTGACACTGACTGTATACAACTGAATAAAATAATTGTAAAAACATCGTTACAAATTCTTTCGCTTTTTTGTTTCCGATGCGATGAACCGATAAGGCGGATTACATCCGTTGTTGCCAAACACGAGCACATAATATTATTATTGAGACAGGGCGGTACTCAAACTTCCAAAGGGCTATAACTTTGTTACTTTAATTTTACCAGAAAAATGGTAAAGGAAAAAAACATTTCTTTTGATCAGATCTACTCACTGTTAAAATAAATGACGCAACTTCGAAGTCACACTGTATATATATATACTGAGACGTGGTCATTGTCGTTTAGACCAGTTAGGTGAAAAATTAAAGCTTCCGCCTTTTGTTGGGTACTTCGACAAAATTCAAGCAAAGAGGACTCTTCACACTTTATAAATCTCTAGCTTTCAATGGACTTTGCCATCTTCATCAGGAGCTGCAATAACATTGAGAAAAAATAGCAACTATTGTGCAACATGATTATAAAATAACTTTTTTAAAAAAATACTTCTCTCATTGAAAAGTTAGAAAGAAATTTCAGCAGCTTTCTTAGAGCAGCTTGAAATCGATGATAATAAATTTTTTATGAACCAAGAGCTGGACATTTTACCAAATTTGTAAACAATTGAAAATTGAAACCGTGTATTATATGATATCAATCTTCTTGTTTTCAAAAGCTATATTCAAATATGCAATAAAATATAGGTCGTTCCTGTTAAAGAATATAGAATATAGCAAAATAATAGTAAAATATGCACTAATAACACACCAAGGTTGCCTCGAAGTAAAATTTTTATATCGTTCCCGTAAAATTACTTTCCATTTTCGTTGGGACGCCGTGTACGTATTTTATTCCTTTCCACGTAAAATAAGGAATATTAGACCACAACCTTAGGCCATAAAGATTTTTCGAATCAGGTTTTTCATACTAAGGCGACTGTAAGCTAGTAGAAAGCGACGATCAGTAAACTTACTTGAGAAGTTACGCGTGGCGAGCATCGTCGTGAGGATGGCTCCCTAAAACGGAATATGTGAGTTACAGTGAACGGGTTTTGATCATTTTGAGTTCAGTTTTACCTTCAGTTTGCGCCTGGCGTTGAATTTCTTCAAGCAGTCGACGGTCTCTTGCCTGTGAACCACAGACGCCACACGTTCGCGTTGCTGCAAGAACACACAAGATCGTTAATGTTTGCATTTTTTAACATAAGACGCAAATATTCGTAAAAATATAGACCTATCTATAGGCTGGTAAATCTCCGAAAATGCTTTCTATCTCTAGTTGGTCTTCAGTACACATTAATAAATGCAATTAGTCGATTCCGAGGCGTAGACGCTTCATTCATAATTCGAATGTATTATTGTGAGTTTTCGTGCTGACGGACAAATTTGAATTTTCTTTATTTTCATCTGCAGTGATTTTTGGGATGCTTGTGGAATTAATAATCGTGAGGCACTGCTACATATACTAAGTGACATATAAATCCGAACACCCAGTTTAAATGGTTTTATTTTAATAAAATTTTGTATAAGTACTTAATGAAGCATAATAAAAAAATTTCAAAATGATTGCACTGCTTTAAAGCCCTTTGACCTTTAATAATGTGTGGATGCACCCTGATGTGCTACGCATTCTCCAACGCGCCTAGGCATGCTTCTGATCAGGTGGTCAACGTCCTCCTGTGGTATCTCATTCCAGGCAACCACCAACTCCTCTCGAAGTGCTTCTAGAGTCTCAGGAGGACGTTGCAATTAGAGCAATCTCCTACCCATCATATCCCACACGTGCTCAATTGGGGATAAGTCGGGAGATCTTGGTGGCCATGGTAACAATGTGACATCATTATGTCGAAAGAAGTCTATTGTGATTCTTGCAACATGTGGTCGGGCATTACCTTGTTGGAAAGTTGGATCTGCCAGGGTGGATATAACGCTGCGCGTTCATGTTACCTCTGATGAAGATTAAAGGTGACCTGGAACCATAAGCTATAGCACCCCAAACCATAACTCCAACAGTGTGATGAACATGTCTTTCAACAAAAAACTGTGGATTCCTCCTTTCACCACGTCGCCTTCTAACCCTGGCACGACCATCGTGCATGCCTAAACAAAATCGAGACTCGTCACTAAAGACAATACTGTTCCATTCCTGATCCCAGAGTGACCGTTGTCTGCACCACTCAAGGCGATTACGTCGGTGTTCTCGAGTTAAAGGGAGGACCCAGTGTGGCCGGTATGAAAACAAGCCAAAACTTCTCATTCGTCGGTAAACACTTCGCATGCCAATAGGTCTTCCGTGTTCTGCAAACCATTCATTTGCAATGGACCTGGTAGTGGAGAAACGGTCCCTTAAGGCCAATAATCTTAGGCGGCGATCTTCACGGTCTGTTGTTCTACGGCGGCGTCCAGTGCCCCTTGCTCTTTGCGTACGGCCTTCTCGAAGCCATGCCTGACAACACCTAACCACAGTGTCTACACTTCTTTGCACTCTAACTGCAGTTGCCCGAAAAGAAAGTCCAGCTTCCCGAAGTCCCACTATACGGCCCCTATCAAACTCACTAAGTTGACGAAATCGTACAGGTCTCCGTACTCTAGGCAATTTTTATTAAAATAAAACCATTTAAACTGGGTGTTCGGATTTATATGTCACTTAGCATAAATAGTTTCATCATGTTTAGTTTATTTAGGCATATTTTGGTACAAATCTTGAAGTGGGCCAACTGAAGTGGGAAGGGGCTCGTATAGGTTATGTTTATGCTTTATTATCAGTGCCCAGAGAAGTGGTTGTTATTTCCTACCGCCAGGTTGAGTGCTTTAGTGATTTTCAGCTCTAGTTTCTGTACAACGTTCGCTTTATTTTTAGTATTTTTATTTTTTTTGCGTATGAATAGCAGACTATCCCTCTTTTTAACTATATCCAAGTTACGGGTACATTATTTTTGATTGTTCCTTGATTTAACCAAAACTTTTGACTTTTGAATCGATCAAAACTGTCAAAGAAAATACGGTAAAGGAACTGAAGTCAGCATTGCCGCTGATATAAATGATTTTTTTGTAGAGAAAGTAGTGGATAAACAGCATTACTCTTTAAACAAAGTCTAGAATTGTGAGATTATTATACTTACGCAGATCCAGGGGTGTTTCAATGCCTCAGCCGCTGTGATCCTCTTTCCAGGATTCACTGTAAGCATCTGGTTGATGAGATTTTTCGCCTCTGGCGTTACTGTGTCCCATTCCGGACTCGGATACTGAAAATACCAACAAATCGATCAATCGATAATTTTAAATTTTACTTCTATTGACGTTACGTTATATAAATAATGATATAAAGCCTAGTTGTAATTTAAAAATGTTCAGAAGAAAATTAAAAGAGCATTTCATGGCCAGTGAAAATTGTTTTTCTGAATATTTGTACGTTATAGAACAAACCTGTACTTACATCGTAAGCTCCGGCTTTGATCTGCGCGTACAACCGATGCTGGTCCTCATCCCAAAACGGCGGATACCCCACAAGCAGGATGTAGAGGATGACTCCGCACGCCCAAATGTCCACCGGCTTTCCATAAGGTTCCTTCTTCAGCACTTCGGGCGACAGGTACCCGGGCGTGCCTGCGAAACCGAACCACGCCTGTTGCTCCCCCTGGACTTCGATGGCCAGGCCGAAGTCCGCCAACTTGACGGCTGCACCTTTCTGTTTGCTAGCTAACAGCAGGTTTTCAGGCTGCGGGACATCAAGAAAATATACTAAGTGACATATAATACCGAACACCCAGTTTAAATGGTTTTATCTTAATAAAATTTTGTATAAGTACTTAATGAAGCATAATAAGTAAATGATAAACATTTCAAAATGATTGCACTGCTTTAAAGCCCTTTGACCTTTAATAATGTGTGGATGCACCCTGATGTGCTACGCATTCTCCAACGCGCCTAGGCATGCTTCTGATCAGGTGGTCAACGTCCTCCTGTGGTATCTCATTCCAGGCAACCACCAACTCCTCTCGAAGTGCTTCTAGAGTCTGAGGAGGACGTTGCAAATTGAGCAATCTCCTACCCATCATATCCCACACGTGCTCAATTGGGGATAAGTCGGGAGATCTTGGTGGCCATGGTAACAATGTGACATCATTATGTTGGAAGAAGCCTATTGTGACTCTTGCAACATGTGGTCGGGCATTATGTTGTTGGAAAGTTGGACCTGCCAGCGTGTCAAGATAGGGTAAAAGATGGGGTTCTAGAACTTCGTAGATATAACGCTGCGCGTTCATGTTCTGATGAAGATTAAAGGTGACCTGGAACCATAAGCTATAGCACCCCAAACCATAACTCCAACAGTGTGATGAACATGTCTTTCAACAAAAAACTGTGGATTCCTCCTTTCACCACGTCGCCTTCTAACCCTGGCACGACCATCGTGCATGCCTAAACAAAATCGAGACTCGTCACTAAAGACAATACTGTTCCATTCCTGATCCCAGAGTGACCGTTGTCTGCACCACTCAAGGCGATTACGTCGGTGTTCTCGAGTTAAAGGGAGGACCCAGTGTGGCCGGTATGAAAACAAGCCAAAACTTCTCATTCGTCGGTAAACACTTCGCATGCAAATAGGTCTTCCGTGTTCTCCATACCATTCATTTGCAATGGACCTGGTAGTGGAGAAACGGTCCCTTAAGGCCAATAATCTTAGGCGGCGATCTTCACGGTCTGTTGTTCTACGGCGGCGTCCAGTGCACCTTGCTCTTTGCGTACGGCCTTCTCGAAGCCATGCCTGACAACACCTAACCACACTGTCTACACTTCTTTGCACTCTAACTGCAATTGCCCGAAAAGAAAGTCCAGCTTCCCGAAGTCCCACTATGCGGCCCCTATCAAACTCACAAAGTTGACGAAATCGTACAGGTCTCCGTACTCTAGGCATCGTAACCGATCGTAAAGGATGTCAAGAACCAAAATCCGCCAACGTTGATTCTTTACTGCGGCTGAAATATTCATTTTTAGAGCGTTAGTGAATTAAAAAAAGCAGTATAAAAACCGGAATGTGTAACTGATAAGGCTGAAGATTTTTTCACTAGTTATTTACAGTAAGATAAATACATTCACCAACTTTTATTTAAATAAAACCATTTAAACTGGGTGTTCGGATTTATATGTCACTTAGTATATATAAATATCGATCTAGAAGAACTACCTTCGTCTTTACTCGGGAAGATGTTCTGTATTGTTTTTTGCGTAGTCTTACTTTTGAATCTGCTAGTCGAAAATTGCGATAAAAATTGCTTAAGAATTTTTTTAAGGAATTCCAAAATTTCTATTTTCGCTCCTAAATCAATTAATAACAAAAAAAGGTTCTTATAAACTGTTCTGTGAGGTTGTTAGTTTTCGAGGTATCCTTGATTGCAAACCTTTTTGTTCGATGATGCTTGATTAAAAATAAAAAACAAAGGTTTACGATAACAACACCTCCGAAAATGCTTTAGGATCTGAAGAATATTTAGGAACCCTGGCAACATTAAAATTTCTTTTTTTATCAAAAACTAAAAATTGTTGATTAAAAAGTTTCAATGCACCTTTTTTGTCCAAAATTTCCCGAAAAGAAAAACAAAAACACCGATCGGAACGAAGAAAATCAACTCTAGAAGCTTCGATCAAATAATTTTGGGCCAGGTAACACGCAGATTCTTGAAAAGGAGAATAAGAGTCAGAATATTTCCCCTAGCAGATTTCACTTGGACAACCTGTTTTACACACTTGATATCGCTAAAAAGTATCACAAATTCTGCTGCTTGAGAGCTGAAATGCTCTTATCAGATCATTGTCAATTGCTGATTCAAAGGTGTTATACGAGGGATGTCTTTTAAGTTCTGCATATAGAAACATAGTAGGCCGCGCGAGTCGAACGTCAGTACTGAATCTTAACCTCACCCTTTAGTAAACTTAAATTCAAAGTTTCACAACAATACGTGCAGCGTTCTCACTACAGTGAATTTTTAAGTGTCACTAAGTCATTAGAAAAATGCGGATCATTTTGCAACAATTCATCTTAATGAGCAAAGAACTGTTACTGCAGTTTGGTATACCACCATTTGTTTGCCGAAAGTCATCACCGAGCTTCGAAAAATCAACTCCGATAGAATGCAAGCTCGCACACAGCCCAAAGAACAAGGCAGTATTTAACGTGGAATTATTGGACCATCCTCCGTATAGTCCCGATCCTAACGATTACTTTACTTTCCCGAAAATTAAAACCTGTCTGCGTGGTCAAAGGTTCCAGTCACCAGAAGAATCAAGTGAACACACACACGTCCGATGCTACTCAAAACGATAACTAACCACTGTTACCGTTTGCCATCGATTGCCGACTCGATAAGAGTGATGAAATACCGACGCGCTGTTGTCATGTGTGTTTTAAATATTTAATTTAACGAAATTTACTTACGGACTACAAATTTTTGTAAACTTAGACCAAAATCTATTGACTTTTGGACCATGGGTCATATGAACTTTTAACCGCCCCTATTACCCATTTAGATAATGATAATCGTAAAATAAATTATCCTTACCTTGAGATCCCTATGTACTACACCGTTTTGATGGCAATGATTTACTGATTCTAAAATTTGTTGTATACAATGTGACGCATCCGCTTCTGAATAAAATTCTCTGGCTACGATATCTTCGAATAATTCACCTCCCGTTACCCTGGAATAAAAAAAAACATATGTCATCTGCGAAATAATCATCTTTTCGCCAATAGTCTAGTATTTTTGAGATATGGCGAATCGTGCTATCCGAAATTCAGTCTGGTGACATACGGGTAGGTAACTCTGGTAACTCAAAACTCAGACAATGTTAAGGGAAGAAAGGGAAGAGGAAAAGAAAGGGGAAGTCCATGAGGTGGTAGTTAAATGAAAACAATCAATTTTATCGGTTTATCTCCATCATAAATCATGCTAAATATAGACAAAGACAGCTAACCGTAGATAGCTGTTTCGTACTTTCGGCTGCTCATCAGCATGGACTAGGCTATTCTGAGACGACAATCAAACTATACACTATCAAAAGTATGAGATCTATCGAAATAAGACAGAAGCAGCTTGAATCGCCGCCATCTAGCGGTCACTTTGCGACTGAGTCTACAATTGCTGCCTAAGATCTATATTTTTTGGTGTATTCGCAGATCATTATTTGTTTGAAATGTTGACTGGATGACACGTCCTATCATCTCGAGTGGTATGTGGCCCACGATCTCCAGTACAATTGGCAGTGCGAACTGTGAAGCCGTAACTCAACTGCCGCAACAATTTCTATCACTGTACAGGCCTTTGTCGCCACAAACTGTATAGTAGTGAAGAAAAGATAGAAGAAACGAACTGTCGCTTAAACAGATAGATATCATAATATATATTATTATTTTAACTAGTACTTGCTATACTCAGAAGTGTTACACCCAGGAAAAATAATTTCTTCAACTTTTTGATGATGTCCTACAAACCACGTTACTGTCGCATCTAGAGGGGGCCGTCCACACGCCTTTTTCAGCAATTTCGTGAGAATATCATCGTTTCATTCTTGATGCCAAAAATCAAATTGAAAAAATATTTTTTTCTGTGTCTAATGCCACCGAGTATATTTTGTGCTGGATACTTTTTGCTAAAAAAGTAATTTGAAAATTTGCGATTGTATGGAATAAAGTTGAACCTATAAGGTCTCATTTTGAAGATATCTTCATGGCCTACAACTTTCCGCTGCAACAGCTAATCGAATAATAATTTCGAAAAAACAAAAGATTCTTTCAGATTTTTTCTTTGTTTTTAAAGCTTTCGAAAAACGTACATCTAAATGAATCATCCGTTACAAGAATATCACCCAGTTCTCCAATTTGAAGCGCATCATAATCTTTTCCATTTCCAACATTACCCATTCCAAGGAAATTCCCGTCCATTAAAACTTCTTCGAGCTCCTCAACTTTCCTGAATACTTAATTATTTAGTGTTCCGTGCCAATTACCAACCCTGAATACGTAATGAATGGAACTTGCACCGTTTGAAAAAAGTTTTTATTCAAATGACAGCTAGGCGCTCTGCACCCTGCATTAGAAACATTATTCCACTTTCATGCCGACATGATTAAAATCTAGATTGCCATGCTTCATGCTCATGCACTGTTCTAAGGTGGATCTGCCATCTACGCGTACTGCGCCAAAGTTTGATACGAGGTGTAAGAATCGTTTTGCAGGGGTCGCAGGGAAGCTTTGTTTATGAACGGAAATTGTATCACAAGCTGAAACATGAACATTTTTCATCATAGTCACGCTAACTCAAAAATCCTCAACCGCTAAACATCAGGTGATAGAAAGTATAAATAATTGAAAAATCGTAGAACTGCTATGAGGCAACTTTGACTAACAAGCATGGCACTGCCTTCAGAGGCTAAGAATTTCGAAAAGTCTTTGCTAGCGATGGTTTAAAAAACACATTTCGGAAAACAATAGTGATAACAGCATTTACCTATGCCTTGCTAAAGAAACAAAATGCAGTGCAAATAGAGTACAGAGTAGTTGTATGATGACAGAAGTAAAACATCAATATCCTGATGTACGAGGGTTGTTTCAAAAATAGGGTCCCCAAGTTTCTAAAAGGGCTGAGGGCGGATTTCACGTCTAAAAGCATTGACTATGGAGAAAGATAGCTTAAAGATCAGCGTTTCCTATGGTGTACATATTTTTTAAATAAAAAATTCCTTGTGAATGGAAAAAAAACCCTCGTATGTAATGAAAAATCGGTAGATCCGGCAACGATGTTGCGGAGGTTGATTCCAATTTGTGTTTCCTATGCAAACGTACACCCTAAGTTCTCCACGACAAGCCAAATCGGAGGTCAGCAACCCATTAATCATCCTTTTTAGTTTTTAAAAGTTCGCAGACTTTGATCGATACTCTCCACAGTCCTCTCAGAATTGGAACGTCTGTTTCACAACGGGAACGTATTATCGTGCGAGTCGTTGACTTCGTCCAGAAACTGGAGCTCACAAAAAGGTATAAAAGTTAACGCGTACAACTCGAGAACGAGAAATAAATAGTATACGTTGTCCACTCTACTAGAATAATATTTTTATTCATATTTTTGAAATGGTGGTAGAGTGAATGTTTTGTCCTGAACTAGCAACTGATCTAGTAAAATCTCCGTACACCTGTGGCGATGTGTCTCACCCGCGCGGCGGACCAAACCGAAAGTAAAGCCCAGTAAAATTCTCAAACACGTGGAAACTGAGATACCACAACGATGGCGAACAGCTCGCCTTTAAACAGCTCTAAGCCAAATGCGTGAGCAGTACTCGAGGCTATGTCTTATCTGGGCCTTCTAATGAATGCGGAGATCGTGGCTAGAAAAGTACTGCTTGCTGCTAAACGAATAGTCCAGCTTTTTCCCATCAGTCGCTGCTATTTTTCTTTTCTCTGTGTACCGGATTGTTAACGTATGTAAATTCTTAGTCTTTAGACCGCACCGTATTCCTGTATTTACTATCTAAGCTTCGGAAAGAGAAATAATCAATTTCTCGAGAATCGTCTTCCGTACTATAATGTTTGTTTGTCCTAGACCGCGTCCTTGACTCACCCATATGAATTACATTTTATCCAATAATACCTATCATCACAATCCCAATGATACGATTAGGGATTTGATAAAGCAGTGGAAGTTGCGTGTGAAAACCTACAGTTTTTTTTGTCGCTTTTCGTTGAAATCGAAACCTCAGCAACGGGTGTCCCAATAGTTGGTGGTCTTAGAAGTAGCACGTATTTTTCAGCTTAAAATAAATCGATCGGACATGATCTATGCAAAAGTGGCTCGTTTGTTCGCTAAAACACGCTTTTTCAAATATTTTAAGAAACTTAGTCTAATTTGAATGAAATTTGGAACATAGACGTTCTGATATTTGACTATAACAAAAAAGCGTTTGAGATGAAAACTACCCTCACCGCTTTATAAATTGCAGCAGAATTCTTGCAAACTTTCCCAATGACTCGGAATTTTTTTATATAGCAGACGTTTTTATTTACTCCAATTTTTCACTCATAAAATAACAACTTATCTTGGATAGTTTTTGAGGAAAAAATGAATTGCTGAGAGGTTCCCAAATGGCTTATCAATTCTTTACTATATTACTTATTACAATTTGATTTAATACAATAACAACAGTGCGAATCTTTCACAAAACAGTTTTTTCTCGAAAACTATACGAGTCGGAATAATTTAAAAGGATACAAAAATGAAGTAAATGAAAGGAACCATTTCTTTTTTTTTGCAAAACTAAAAAAATGATGTTTAGCAAAACACGTTTTCCAGATGTCATTCAAAATATCTGCAAAGGACCCTGTAGAAGGCTGTCACAGTTACAATGTAACCAAAATAAAACGTTTATGGTACTAATTGCATTATTTTGTTTATTTGTTAAAGATTTATGATAAAATGTCAATTTTGTATAGTTATTCGTTCACACATATTTTGAATCTATTTTCTGTAATTTTACATTCTTATCTATTACATCGCTATGCATTTTGAGTACTCAAGAAGAGATTTTTTAATTTCACTTCTAACATTTTTGAATTCGTACACTGTTTATCATTATTCAATTTATTAGATTCGAATATTTTTTAATTTAATTTAATATGAAAACGATAAGTAAATAACATATGAAATTTTTTACATTCAACCGCTGTAGTTCTTCTAACGTAGACTCAATCCTAACATTTGTTTTTATTTAAAATGATTCTCATAGCTTTATTTTGTAGCATTTGTAATTTTGAAAATACCTTTCCATTTGCTGTAAACAAGATAGTTTGTACAATATGAAAAATATGTGTACTATACACAATTTTTTTGGAATACATATTAAGTAATTAATCTTTTTTGATATTTGTGAAATAATGTATTTACAAAGATCGCGAATCAGTAGTTTACTATCTATATATATACTTCAATTTTTAAGTTCTCAATCATGAGCCTAATTATATTAACACCTAAATATTTCCCTATTGACATACAGTTGGTTTTATTAGTGTTTACTTTAGGTTTACTAACATTTAACCAATTCATAATTTTTTAATATCACTTTTTAACAGTTCTAAAGCAGTGTCCAAATATTTATGTGCTATTTATATATACACATATCAATTTATATAAACAATAAATAGTTACGGCCCTAATTTATATATATATATATATATAACTTGAGACGTGGTCATTGTCGTCTAGACCAGTTAGGTGAATAATTAAAGCTTCCGCCTTTTGTTGGGTACTTCGACAAAATTTAAGCAAAGAGGACTCTCTATACTTTTTTTAATTCTCTCTAGCTTTCAATGGACTTTGCCATCATCATATATCATTTATTAATAATTGTTAATTTAAAATTCCCATTAATTAAAATATAGTTTATTCAACTGCCTCTGGTCGGTTTAACAATTTCTTACATAACATTCTGAAAATCACATCATCTGAAGTGATTTGGCAACGTTTTGGCACACGCCCACAATTCGTTCCATCTTTCAACACAGACATTGACAACCTTCGGCCTTCTGTCAAAGGTTCATCTCTCTCATTATTCCATGACCACCATTTTGTGCAATCATCAAGTGGCTTCACGACGTAATGCTCTAATGTTTTCTAAATAATTTTTAATCTGTCTTTAACTTGTCTTGTCATATTTTATATAATTTTAACCATTGTACCATGTATCCAGCTCTCACCATGTTACTGGACGTTTCCCTCATCCTATACGAAAACAACAATTAGCAACATCCTCACATACTACTGTAAGTTGATTCAATTTAAATTCATTTTACACTTTTGTTGCTACTGTTATCATTGTAATTGCAGCTCCTGATGATGATGGTAAAGTCCATTGAAAGCTAGAGAGAATTAAAAAAAGTATAAAGAGTCCTCTTTGCTTAAATTTTGACGAAGTACCCAACAAAAGGCGGAAGCTTTAATTTTTCACCTATATATATATATATATATATATATTGAATTCTTGACATAATATTTCCAACTTTAGTCTTTTGACTTCTATCTACTGAATAATTTTGTAAAATGATCCTTTAAAACCAGAGTGATACAACTTCATTAACAATGTTTCCCTATCTATGGTCCCAAATGCCCTTTTGAAGTCTTAAAATACTGTTATAATACATTCGTTCTCATCTATACTTGTTCTCCAGTGTTCCGCTGCCGTTTCTGTACAATATTCTTTTCTAAATCCAGCTTCAGAATTTTGTTTCCAATTAATTTATTCGTATAGTATCGCTTCGTATAGCTTCTTGACATCTGCCAAGAGATGAATCGGCCACATGTTTGTATACAGCTGAGAATTTTGAACTTTTGGCACAGCAGTAATAGTGAAACACTTTAATTTTGATGGGGATTCAACACGCACTAAGCCATGATTCACCAATAATAACAATTGCTCTCCAATTATATTGAAACAATCACTTAGGTTCTCATTTAGATTTTTATTAGATTTAAATTCTAAGATAGCTTTTCTTAGATTGTTATTTATTGTTCTAAATTGATGAAGTATCATGATCATAAATGTGACTTAGTACGAAGAGTGAACGTTAAGATTGACATTCACAATATTTATCATATCGTTAAAATTACTGTCTGGTGTCGCATGTCCCTCTTAAGAATTGTTTACGCTCCAACGGTCATTTGTCCACCTAGCAGCGTTAATTGGGTTTTCGGAACGTCAACGAACGTCCTACGTTTGCAGTTTCCGTTTGCTCCATGAAATGTTCAGAATTAGTTCGAAATGCAGAAACGCGCTGGCGTTGGATTTTGTTGGAAAGGGGCTTTGGGATAAGCCAAGTTACCTATGACCTATCGAATTATCATTACGTTTATCGTTCGCTGTTGGAATGTGGAGTCTAATTCGATAACGTCAGATTTCTGGGGATTCAACTTGGTAGGAATAAGTATCGCCAATCGCAGCAAAAATCTGGCTGATCTGAAAGTACGAGGTTTGTTCGATTGAAACCCATCTTTGGCCAGGCTAGCCTTGGAAACAGTTCTAATCGCTTATCTGACATTTTGTCATGTTAGTTGTGTCCAGGAAAACTCTCACGTGGTGTCGTTTTTCTGCACGACATTGTTCGGCCTCATGTAGCCAGAGTAGTGAAAGAAAATCTACCACGAAAAAAATGGAGAATATTAGAGCATCAACCCTATAGTTCCGATTTATCATCTTTGGGTCGCTAAAAAAGGCGTTAAAGGGTAGGACGAACAAGTACAAAATGTCAGAATGGCCGCTACACGGCGTCATTTCAATTTCAAAAATTCAAACACCTGCAAGAAATACATAACTAACATCTTGTTAACCGCTCAGTTTCTGAACTTTTTTTTTTGTATTCCGGAGGAAAAGTTGAATGTCATTTCAGGAAAAGTCACATAACTCCTGTTTGATGAACTTCTTTTGGAAGAGTATTCGCCTGCGGTGCTTATGAATGCTCAATCTTGTTAGATTAGTTCGATTTGTGGCCGCCAGATGACGCTTCGTGGATGTGACGGCGTTGGAATTATTCGAAAATTTCACATACAACTATGTATGTTTAACACTGATCGGAAAGAACATTCCATATCAAAGACAGGAAAGAAATTAATAAAAAAAAAATTATTACCCTGTATCTAGAACTTGCATTTCCGGACTCATGTTTATGATATTTTTTTATATTTTTTACCAAGGAATCATCCTCTGAAATATTTCCTTTTATTTTTCGAACACCCTCTACAGAAAAACGGAAAAGTTGTATACCCAATAATTCTATGAAATGGTGAATGTGCTTGGAATTAAATCGCTGCAAAAATGGTGGATGTACATGCATTTATTATTTGTAATTTAGGTGAATGTACTTTGGTATTCGTCTATTACGTATTACAGAGTATGAGCTAGAGGCGTAGAGACCTTCTGCTATCGTTAGCGTATGGGCTGGAGATGAACCGAGCCATAAGCGTGTTTCTTGCAAAAATCTCAATACTCAACACCATAACACAAAAAGTGCGTGTACGACAATTTTCTCGCCATTTTGTTAACCTTTCATTAACATGAGAAACAATGCAAATTATCCAGCAACGACTAGCAATCTGGCATGCAAATAGAACGGCAAAGTGGGTATACTTACAAATCGAACACTAAATAATGGAAATTTTCCTCTTGGATACTATCGTGTAATCGGACTGAAAAGAAAAAACGTTACGAATTACAGTCGTGTCGGTGGAAAGTACTTATTAGTAGGAGCTTAGCATGCAAACACAACTTGTCACATACACCATAATCACAATGTGCGCCAATTTAAAAACGGTTGCTTTCATATTAGACGAGGAACGAATTTCCAGACTCGAGTTTTTTTTCATAATCACGTTTTTTGATGCCCCTTTATATGACTCGTTTGCCGGCACAAGTTGGTTCAAATAACATTTTTTTAACAAATTACATAAATTTGGAACTTGTTTATAAACGGGTTTTAACAAGTTTCTACAGGCTATTTTCTGGTACTTCTTGATTCAGATTAAGATCCAAGAAACGTGACAACGAAAAAAATCGAGTCGGAAATTTTTTCACACGGATGCAACGTTTGCACTTCGGCTATATGAATATGTCAATGCTTCGTACCAGATGTTGATGGATATTTAGTGGCAAGGAAACTATGAACTCAAACTCAATAGCAAAGCTCCTATAATACGATGATTATCTTCAATTAAGTCGCTCTTTTTACGAGATAGGAGATGGGACAGCATCATAGGCAACCAAGTGAGCAGAAGGGTGTATAACTGGTTGCCTGGATACGATCATGGTTTAGCTCAAGCATATCCAACAGGACAAAACAACGTTATTAAAAAAAGATAATATATGCTGTTGTTTCAAAAACTGAAAGAAATAGAGATTAACTTACTTTAATACAACAGATCACCAATTGTAGCTAATAAAGAAATTGAAAAACTGAAATGGAAATGCAAATTAACTACAAATTTCCATTTAAATACAAAGTTTTTTTTTACTTTACCGATTTCAATTCTCTGTCTTTTTTCTGACCTCAAAAAAGTCGTTCTCATGGCATATACATATTACATATGTCTCTTTCAACTACCTCAAGTGAAATTCCCCTTAGCAAACACCCCTAATGGTCCCAGCCGACTCTCATATAATTTGCATGGTAGCATCTCTGACTGATATTCTCTTGAAGGTACGCGGACACGAGAAAATGCTCTCCTAACCGGACAAAAAACAAAATAAAGAGAAACAAAGTAATTGTAAATCCAGTTGAATTACAAGAATTTTCCGAAGATTCTGACGTCGGTGAGGTTCAACAACTAACAGAAACTATTCCAAATCATGGTGAAGCTATTACTCTAACCAAGTAGCTCGAAAATCAGAGTCTTTTGAGCTTCTTTCTAAATTAGAAATACGATTTCAAGACATTTTGAAGAAAAAGAGAAGACGAGCAACAATATATGAATTTTTGCGTAATTAAAGTGACTTTTTGTTTCAGTGTTTTGGGTTATTACGTATATCTATGTACATATGTAGATACATTTTAGTCGTATATTATAGATATGTATGTACAAACTATGTATGGTAACTAAAGGTAACAAACCTTTTTCTTGAGTGAACATTTTTTTGTTTATTTTAAAAACATTTATATTCAGATACGTTTTAAATGTCCCAGTTTCTTTAATATATTCAGTTTTCATCAAAAACACGATATTTGATGTATGTCTTTAATATGTCCACCCTTCTTAAACGGTTGGTCCTGTTGGTGTCCGCCCAAAGGACATTTCAGGATAGACTTTGAGGGACCTTATGTTCTAGATAAAAACGATTCATGAAAAGATTCATCCAGTTCGATAATCACTATAGCAACTGGACTCTGTAAATACGCTTATACCTCAAGGTCAAAATGGTCCCAATGGCCTGAGTCTATTTTCTTCTTCTTCGGTTTGTTTTCCGCTTGACTTCCGTCTCGGATCCCAAAAAAAAGGAACGTTCTCTCAGAAGAAGGACATCTGGCAACCGTAATCAAAGGTACCAACGAAAAAACAGTTAAAGAACAAGACAAACACTATTAAAGCATAGAACATAAAGCTGCTGTCAATATATTTACCTCTTTACTCACTGACTCACAAAGGTAACGTTTACAAAGTCTTTATTTTGCCTGGTCAGATTCATGAAGTTCCCTGTATCGGACTCGCACCCCTGTTCTCATTGTAACAGCTTTCTCTGATATTTTCTTATTGCCAAGTGTGTCGTCATAGTCATCGTCATCGTCATCGTCGTCGCCGTCGTCGTCGCCGTCGTCGTCGCCGTCGTCGTCGTCGTCGTCATCGTCATCGTCATCGTCATCGTGATCGTCGTCGTCGTCGTCATCGTGATCGTCGTCGTCGTCGCAGTCGTCGTCGTCGTCTTCGTCTTCGTTTCGTCGTCATCGTCATCGTCATCGTCATCGTCATCGTCATCGTCATCGTCATCGTCATCGTCATCGTCATCGTCATCGTCATCGTCATCGTCATCGTCATCGTCATCGTCATCGTCATCGTCATCGTCATCGTCATCGTCATCGTCATCGTCATCGTCATCGTCATCGTCATCGTCATCGTCATCATCGTCATCGTCATCGTCATCGTCATCGTCATCGTCATCGTCATCTTCTTTAGACAATTTGACTTTACTACGACAGCATGTCGCTGAACAATTTCCTCAAATAGCCGTAGGTACGCACATACGGCGTTCGGCAATAATCCTCCGGGAGAGTTTATTCCCGTTTTTATGACTGCCACTATCCGGGATAGCCACGGAGGAACATCGTGTCTGTGTGTCTGTATATAAATAAGAGTTTATGGGATGACGGTGACCATATTGAGACGTTTCCTCGTAATCCGATTGACGGGATAAAAATTGCCTCTCCGTCTCGTCAGTTCCGGATTTTCAGTTTTTGCGATATGAGGGCGGCATGATTCCTTGGACAGCTGTGTAGGGTTCTTAGCTGAAGGGTGCTTTTATCGAATGAATTCATCAACAAAAATGAGATCTCTTCTTGAATTATACAGTGGATCTCGTCGCCTTGCACGTACATCATGCATCTCCAAACGGGATCTGGATTCATCACTGGAGAAAACCGTATAATATGGCCGATAAACAGTTTGCATTGTGATAAGCTTTCTATGCTCTCCAATCCTTGGTCCGCAGTTTATCTATTGTGTTCTAAAAATAAGTTACATCAATTTCGAGTAATGGGCTTAAGACTTGGACGGAAGGCTCTTGCTAAACTCCGGCAGTTCTACGAAGATAGTATTTTACTAAGAGCCTGGGGTCTATGTCACTTAGGATAACCTGCTTCTGTCAGCCCTGCTATCAGGGACTATAGTGACAGTCCATTGAGAAGCTTTGAAGCCTTAAAGTTTGTCTACCCTACATGTCTATTCTATAGAAGCATTTCGACTTGGCTTGTGTTTGTGTGGCAAGAAGCATTTCCAACGAAACCGTGCGATTTTTCAAACAGTGGCTTCTGCTATACTTCAAAGCGATAACCTATTTTGCGGTGGACCTGGCGATAATTGCTTCTAAAGAGGGAAATCTGTTTCATGTTTAAGCGTGAGGAAAACGGTGGAAAACCGCCGGTCCGCTGTTTGCTACACATTAATTACCATCAGCCTGTGAAAAGTTAACGGGCCCAGAAGGCAAAGGAAAATAACGAGCAAAAGAATACTTCACGGCTTAATTGAGTTTCAGCGTTTTCATTAAATGCTCGCGCAAGGGAAATGTTTGATTTGTATTATATACAGGGTGATTTGAGTCCACTGCGTTTCACGGATCTATTGCGGCTCATACAGGGTGATTTAGGAGAAACGTGTAGTTATTTGGAATAGTTACATGATAACAATCGACAACAAAAACAAGCATCTACATTTCTTGCCTATATACATACAGCAATGCATTTCATAGTAGAATTTATGTACAGGATTCGAAGGTTATGCCAAAAAGAAGGTCTTATTTTTCCAACATTGACGTTTGGTGAAAAAGTTAGCCAGATAAATTTCGTTATAGTCCCCGTATGAAAGTGCTTATTACAATTTTTTCTGAAACAAGGTGGATTTTTGGCTAGCCACATTGGTATATCGTCCAATTCTTTGTAAAACAAAACACCTATCTAGTATTTTTTCCAAATTCAAACAGTTATTTAGTTGCTATAGACGTAAAGTGCAGATATATACATAATACCACTGAAGGTACAACATGCTTTACAGATTCCATCTTTAGGTAAAAGATAAGTTTGTTTTATATTTGATTGTTTTCATCACCTGGGCTCTCGTTACTTGCTACGTAAAATGAAATATAATTAAACGAATTTTTCAAACTATTGCGCTTAAGCTTTGATTCTGTGATTTGTAATGGTGTATATGAGTCGTGTACAAAAATATCGTAAAATTCCTAGAAATACTTTTCGCTATTCTACATTTCATTCCAAATGGAGAACAGATATTCCTGAAATACCGTACCTGCACATCACATTTTTCCACACCAATTTAGATCAATCGAAGGTAAGTGCAAAATCTCAGACGCGAACCTTCAACATTCCCTAAATATTCAAGCCGCTATTTGCTGCGTTGCAATAGTAATGACTATTTTTGAACAAAACTCGGTTCCCGACAGCTTGCTGAAAGTTTGCACCACCATCTGACATCGAATCGCGAATTCGCCCGTACATTTTCAAAGCACACACGTCCATCGAAATGTGTAAAAATCTCCGTTTCAGAGCTTTGAATGCTTTGAAAATCGGGCTTCGGAATAAATCGCCAATTCAACTGAGAGCCAGCGGTACATCTGATACATCATGTATTACGAAAAACAGATATACTACAGAGTTAGCTGAGTATCATAGATTTTGCATTAAACAAGAAAAAATAAAGATCGATATTTCTGAGACATACCATGATATCTTCTGCATTTATCCCACTGTTTTGAAACCAGATGCACCTCTGTCTCCGACATAAACCCAATAACCATTTCAGAAATTCTGTTGTGTGCGACAAGCCGGAAAAAGATGGTGATGGACAGAAGAAGAGAAAAATCGTCAAAACTCAGATCGTGCAGTATAGAACCATGATGCCTGTAAGCGTGTGCAAAGCCAAATGATAAGAATATGAAAATAGAGAGAGAGAGAGAAAAATATTAATAGGAAAGTTACCTAAATGCTTGAGCACCTCAGGGTTGGTAACTATATTTACAACAAAAAAAAAACAATAGTTACATTAAACTCGCACGCAAATGATTTGTTAGTGGTAAGGGTTTGGTATATGGGATGAGACTAAACAGCAGCTGGATCTCCACAAATCTCAGTAAAGGAAACAAAACTTCAAGAATCGTTTTTGATATACGGGTAGGGTTGTCTATGGTAACGTTTTTGCGTGCAAAAATCAGATGACCGCACGAATCTCTTACTGGCCGTGATGAAAGGCTCCGTACTGAGCGTCGCCAATAGGCGTTTCTTGTCGGGATCGGTGGCGGGGGAGCCGACAAACGCGACGATGTTACCAGATTTCGGCCAGCATCACGCGCGAATGAGAATTGAGTTTTGAAATCAAGACATGGTTTCCCTATTGACTTTCAAATTCAAAGTTTGATCGTTCGCAATCGCAATACAGTGGACCTCCAGTAATCCGACAAACATTATGCAGGGCAGTGTCGGACTATTGAATTTGTCGAATTATTGAGCACTTAGCTTTTAGTAAATTAAATAACAATAGAGAGCTTACGTTTTATTATAAAATTAAGCATAAATTCGCATACATATGTACCAAAATAATCAAGAATTATTAATCAAAATCATTAATGAATTTATCAAATTATGAAGCTTGGAAATATTCATCAATTTTTTGTTTGTTTAAGGTTGTTATAACGCGAGATCAGAGCTTTGTCCCTGAGTCTTCTCAAAAGTGAAAGTTCGTTGTAGGATGTACCATTCTCTTCAGCCTATTGTAAACCTAGCTCAACGGCGTTAATTGCGTCTTGTACTGTGACTTGTGGAGCAGTTGCAATCACGTCGTCGTTATTTTCCTGACTGTTTGTTGTATAATTAGAAACCTCTTTATATAATCTCTTCGTCAGACATTTCATGAAAAACATTTTCCTCTTTATCCATTCCACGGCACCAGATTTTCAAATCTTCCGGACGTATCTGTGTTCTATAACTTCCCCAGTAACACTGATTTGTGGAACGTTGCTAGGAGTGGTGACTATATCTGGCCATAACTTATTTAATAGTTGATTACGGTAACGCGTTCCACGACTGACAAAGAGCAAAAACCAAGTCTTTCATATTAAATTCCTTTAAAGTTTTTTCTATTGGTTGGTCTTTTGATACGGCTCTCAGAAGTAGGTTTTTCTTATAGTCTTGCTTGACAAACTGAATGATATTCTGGTCCATTGGCTGAATCAGTGCAGTGCAATTTGGCGGAAGAAACATCGCAGTGATGCATTTATCCTCAGTTGTTAGTTCCTCTTCAGACAAATGACCGGGAGCGTTATCAAGAAGCAACAACGCTTTTTGAGGAAAATTATGATCTTTTAACCATTTTCTAACTTCACGTACGAAGCATTCATCAAAACACTTTTTGAAAATGTCTTTTGTCATCCATGCACTTTTTTGTCCGTAATAGTGTACAGGTAGAACAATGTTTTTGAATGCCCGTGGTTTATTAGATTTCCCAATGACCATCATCGTAAGCGCGTGTGTGCCCACAGCGTTAGCACATGGTAGTATGGTTATACGCTCTTTACTGACTTTTCGTCCAGGTACGGATTTTTCGTTACAAGAAACGAAAGTTTTGTTAGGCATCACACGCCAAAAAAGCCCTGATTCGTCTGCATTGTACACATGTGACGGGTCAAGATTTAAATCGTTCATCTTTTGCAAAAATCTTAATTTAAAGGGCTCTATGCAGGTGGCGTCGTTAGAAAGTTTCTCGCCTGTAATAGTCATTAAACGTATGCCATGACGACTTTTAAAACGTTATAGCCATCCTTTGCTGGCCACAAAACCATCTTTTTTTGTAAAATGTAAACAATGAACGCACGCTAGGACGGACCGCTATCACCAGCAGTCAAATTCAAACTAAGTAAACGAATGCTTACGCGTCGAGCACGATAGCGGTGGCGCGTACAAGTTGTAACCGGTTCAAACCTGCGTGATCTACATTAGCTAAGATTGTCAAATACGTATGTATATAATACATATTCGAAGACATGTTGGATTACAGGGGGCGCCGGATTATCGGAAGTCCACTGTATTTATTTTTTGACTTGTTAGAGGCAAATGGAAGAAATAGAGGATATGCGTATCTCAATTCTGACAAAAGTTTGTTGCTAGAACATACTACGAAAATTGATGTGTTTGAGCAATGTCGTAGGTTTTTTGAACTATCCACGATTAAGTGGATCAAACGTCTGCCGCCATTTTTTAGAACGTTCCTGTATACGCGCCGTTGTTTAGCCTCTTCCTGTGGGTAATGTGGATGAAACAAATGAATCAGCTATATACGGCACAGCCAATGGGTTTAGAAGTGTTCGGTGTGTCAGTGAGGGTAAAATATTGAAGAGATTTGCGTCTAGCCTAGTGCGTCCGACTCACCTATGTTTGGATGTTGTAGCTTCCGACATATCCGTGCTTCTCTTTCTAATTTTTGGAAATCTGGAACAAAAACATCGTATTGGAATAATCACAATCGTCGATTGATATACAACTGAAGAACGTATAAAATGCGACACCCAGAATTAGTTATTGAATTTTGATGAACACTGCAACGAGAAGAAATATTATAGAGCGAGGCAACTAGTACCTAGAGATATGGAATGGTCGTGTTCAGCGATGAGTCCAGATTCTATTTAGGCACACATGATGTGCAAGAGAAAAGAGGAGACATGGTGAAAGACCATCCAATATTCTATCGAACGGCATATTAATCGCACTGGCGTTATAGTATGAGGTGCCATTGCTTACGGCAGGTCATGTTTAGTGTTGATTCGAGGTACTAAGAAGCTGATTTTGCGAAATTTCGAGTTAAAATTTTAATCACTTTCTATTTATCGGTAGACGTAAAACTTGTAAAAGTATGCTCAACATTACAGCACTCTTAATCGGTGTTGCATTTTCCTTGTCATTTTTTTGTAATTTTATGTCACAAATTTGATATCGTTTTTTCGAAAATCGGAATCGCAGATTCAATATTGCGGACATGCTCCAAAAAAAAAAAATGTTTAGATTGAACTCAAATTCGAATTTTTCATATTCTAATGTTCTAGTATCAATTTTTCAGAAAGTAAAATGACGGACCCGACAGAGCGGACGTTTTTGAGAAAATTCGGTAATAATGTTAGCAAAAAATGCATTATGCTGCGGAAACAACCAGGAATCAACAGCTAATATTTTGTTGTGTTGGACTAGGTTTTTATGAAGTGTTAATTCTCGTTACGTATCTCATTCTAAATGTTTGGCTTCTCTTTAAACTTTTTTGCAACCTGTAGATCCGACAACTCTAAATCCAGTACAATATTGCAATTTGCATTTCTTCTTACAAATTTTTCTAAATAATCAAACTCAATCACCGCTTGTTAGTGTCGTGATCAAACCATGTTTGTGTAAGCAATGCCAAGTGAACCGATTTTCAATCAATATAAGGCCTGATGGTAATTGCTTTACTATTCATTTAACTGATGCCTTATTTCTTTTTTTATGTCTGCTTTTGTAGCTATCGATTGAGCGTTCACTGTGACCCAAATAGTGCAGTCCCATTATTTATTATCAATAGGAATACATGTGAAACAGATTTTTACATTTTCTTTACGGAAGAAGCCGAAACACAAAGAGAACCACAGCTGCTAGGGGGAGTATTTTTGAATTGTCTAAGTTTAGCAGAACTGGGAAAACTCTCATCAGGTTAACAAATAATTTAGGTATTCAAGTGGTCTTCAAATGTTTGTCTTTTAAAATGTTATATATTGTTAATTTTAATTCTTTGGTGTTGTTTAAAATTTTAATTACCTGTTGGACAACATGAAGACGCCTATGCCAGTGCTTAATAAGAAAGATAAAAAATTTCAGACAAAAGATATCAGTGCTAGCCAGCATCATAGCATTTTGGAAAACAATTTTTTTTAAGTTATTAGCACTTTTTACCAAACCAAAAAATGCTTCTGGTGGATTTGTTCATTAAGCTGTTTAATAATTAAAAGCGAAGCTCTATTTGGACTAGAGAGATGTTTTTAAATGGTATGTTAGTAAGAAATATTATATGCATCATATACTAAGTGACATATAAATCCGAACACCCACTTTAAATGGTTTTATTTTAATAAAAGTTGGTGAATGTATTTATCTTACTGTGAATAACAAGTGAAACATTTTCAGCCTTATCAGTTGGACATTCCGGTTTGTATACTGTTTTTTTTTTAATTCACTAACGCTCTAAAAATGAATATTTCAGCCGCAGTAAAGAATCAACGTTGGCGGATTTTGGTTCTTGACATCCTTTACGATCTGTTACGATGCCTAGAGTACGGAGACCTGTACGATTTCGTCAACTTAGTGAGTTTGATAGGAGGCGTATAGTGGGACTTCGGGAAGCTGGACTTTCTTTTCGGGCAATTGCAGTTAGAGTGCAAAGAAGTGTAGACACTGTGGTTAGGTGTTGTCAGGCATGGGTTCGAGAAGGCCGTACGCAAAGAGCAAGGGGCACTGGACGCCGCCATAGAACAACAGACCGTGAAGATCGCCGCCTAAGATTATTGGCCTTAAGGGACCGTTTCTCCACTACCAGGTCCATTGCAAATGAATGGTTTGCAGAACACGGAAGACCTATTCGCACGCGAAGTGGTTACCGAGGAATGAGAAGTTTTGGCTTGTTTTGATACCGGCCACACTGGGTCCTCCCTTTAACTCGAGAACACCGACGTAATCGCCTTGAGTGGTGCAGACAACGGTCACTCTGGGATCAGGAATGGAACAGTATGGTCTTTAGTGACGAGTCTCGATTTTGTTTAGGCATGCACGATGGTCGTGCCAGGGTTAGAAGGCGACGTGGTGAAAGAGGAATCCACAGTTTTTTGTTGAAAGACATGTTCATAACACTGTTGGAGTTATGGTTTGGGGAGCTATAGCTTATGGCTCCAGGTCACCTTCAATCTTCATCAGAGGTAACATGAACGCGCAGCGTTATATCCACGAAGTTCTAGAACCCCATCTTTTACCCTATCTTGACACCCTGGCAGATCCAACTTTCCAACAAGATAATGCCCGACCACATGTTGCAAGAGTCACAATAGACTTCTTTCAACATAATGATGTCACGTTGTTACCATGGCCACCAAGATCTCCCGACTTATCCCCAATTGAGCACTTGTGGGATATGATGGGTAGGAGATTGCTCAATTTGCAACGTCCTCCTCAGACTCTAGAAGCACTTCGAGTGGAGTTGGTGGTTGCCTGGAATGAGATACCACAGGAGGACATTGACCACCTGATCAGAAGCATGCCTAGGCGCGTTGGAGAATGCGTAGCACATCAGGGTTACTTATTATGTTTCATTAAGTACTTATACAAAATTTTATTAAAATAAAACCATTTAAACTGGGTGTTCGGATTTATATGTTACTTAGTATATTTGTTTCATAACCCTGGGTCAGAAAATGGTGATGAACGGCACCACATTAATCTAAATATGTGATAATTAATGAACTAACAAGATCGTGGATCGGATTGATCGTACAGGAAAGAAGTTCATTGATATCTGCGAGTGACAGTATCGAGGCCAAGACCGATCGCTGGGGAACACCCGCGTTGTCGTTGTGCAAAGCTTGTCTGCAAAAAGTTGTCATCAACCACCGTAAACAATCAGTGAGTTTTTTTAATTTAATAATTACAACAATACAGTGTCTTCATTCGGTTTTGTGAAAAAAAGAAACAGAACGACTGACTTAAAGATCAACATCAGAATCGAAATCTTGATATGTTACGTATAGCGCATTCCTCAACTCAACCGGAAATAAAGTTCTATTTTCTTCGACTGTACTGTAGTAGTGGTGCACTGCGATATTATTTATTCATGTCGCAGAGAGGGGTGATAAGCAAGCGAGCCAGCTAGCACAACATGGGAATGCGACGGAAAGTAATGAGGTTTGGGGCCTGGAATGTCTCTGTGCGATGGGAGGTCACCATCTCGCTGATAATACAAACCAAATTACACAAAACGGAATGACTCCAAAACGTTATTCTTGCTTGGATGGGGTTGTTGCCTTCTAGCGCTACGAATAGTAGGGGATCTTTGGATGTATACGGTGCAATTTAAATCCTCTGAGTTACGGATATGTACGACATAGAAATTAAACGTGTCGAGTCAGCCGAACAGGCTCATACAATCACTCCATAGACTTTCGCTGCACTACTGGTAGTCACCGACCACGCGGCAACATGAGAAAACATAGCTTAATGATAAAGTGTCTCGTAGTGACGATATATCAACTTACCTCTTGCTGATAATTTTTTTGTATTTATAATTTTTGCTGCGAATTCTAGACCAGTCGACTTTTGAACACATCTTCGCACCACTGAAAACGCCCCTCTGAAACAAAAGAAAAATACGTTAATATTGGGAAAGACACTGCACCTAAAAAAATGCGTTCAAATATAGAACTGATATTCTCGTTTGTGTAATAACCTAGAAAATACCGCATTTTTGGTAGCTGACAGTTTGCATTTTTCATCGTGTATTTACAGGGTGTCCCAGAAGTCGACGTCAACCCGAAACCGGGTGATAGGCAAAGTCATAACAGCTATCAGAAAAATATTTAAAAAAAAATTATGTATGTGTTTCGAAAATTATAGGTCTTTGGAAAAGATATAGAAATTTCACACCCTACGGCAGTCTGTCAACTCCTGTTACTACAAATATTAAGTTTTTTTGGATTTTATTTTTACAATGTAATGATGAATAATGCATCTTCAAACTGGTGTCTCAATCTCACTGCCAACTTTTCTCGTTCAGGAAAAATTGCCACTTATTTCCCAACCAAGTATTCCAAAGTAAAACTTTGCTCAACTTTAACTGGCTGTACTGGAAAAAATGTACTACGAGAGTTTGGCAAGTAACCTTAAAAGTTGGCGCATTTTATAAGGATTCCAAAATGGTATAACACTTAGAAGATTACTCGTTAACTTATGCACAATTTTTATTTGAAGAAAAACTGATGAAAATTTTTAAAAATTTCCTAATTAAATAGCGATTATGAAAACGCACAAATGCTGCTGATGATGATTTACCTTTACAGCAAATGCTCAAACTGTTTTCCTTCAGCCGCAATACACGTTCGACATCTTCTTAAAAAAGATCGGGTTATTAAACGAGCGAATCCACGGTTATTAACAAACTCAGCTGCTTCCAATAGTCTTTGCCGTAGCTCAGCTACATTTTGAATCGGCTTGAAATGCACTTTTTCTTTTACAGTTCCCCAGTAAAAAAAATTTAACGGATTCAAATTGGTGACCGGGCTGGCCACGATATTGTACCAGACCGCCTTATCCATCTGCTTGGAAAGTTTTGATCGAGATACTCTCTACACAGTGCGCTGGTCAGCCATCATGCTGAAACCACATGTCCCTGTAAATACTCAGTGGCACGTCCTCCAATAAATTTTCTAAATGATTTTGCAAAAAGCCTAAATAAACCTCAGCTGTCCAAGTCTCTGGGAATTCAAACGGACCGATTATTTTACCATTTAAAATTCCTGTCCAATGGTTTATCTTGGAGCGATATTGAGATTTATCTTCTCTCATCAAATGTGGGTTTGCTACGTGCCACTCGTGTAATTTATGCAGGTTCATGTACCCATCTTTCTTAAATGTGGTCTCATCTGACCATAAAATTTTTTCAAAGAACCGTGGATCTTCCCTGTGTCTTTCTAACATTGTGCGACAAAAAGCAACTCGGGGCTCATAATCCCGGGGCAGAAGAGCTTGAACACGCTGTACGTGGTATGGATGGAGCACGTTTTTTTGCAAGATTCTATGGGCTGTACTTTTGGGCACACCGTTTTTAGTTCTATTGCACGCACTGAAGTACTCGGGTCTTCTTCAACAGCTTCTAGCACCACGTCTTCGTAAGGAAGGAAAGATCTTCCCTCACCGTGTGATTGGTTTGGTAGTTGGCCCTCTGAGAACAGTAAGCGGTGCACATTTGTGAACACTCGATGATCTGGATGACGAGCTGCATTCGGGCACCTCTCACAGTAAAGTCTCGCTGCAGCACTAGCGTTGCATCTGCATTCCCCATAAATGAGGTGCATGTTAGCATATTCTTGTACGGTGTACACGGACATAGCGGCACTGCACAATCACACTATCAAAGATAGTCTAAGCAAAGCAAATGTTGTTTTGAAGCGCAATTAAACAGTCCAAATCCAAATCACAAGCGATCAACAGTCCAGTTCACGAATCCAAAATTAGTAACAGTACGAAATCAACAAGCACGAACATGTAAAGATGCGCAGTAAACGAAGGAGTGCTGATCGGTATCAAAGTCTGGAATAGCAAGTAAGTGATGTGCTTCATCCATACCACATACAGCGTGTTCAACCTCTCCTGATTATGAGCCCCGAGTTGCTTTTTGTCGCACAATGTTAGAGAGACACAGGAAAGATCACCAGTTCTTTGAAAAAATGTTATGGTCGGATGAGACCACATTTAAGAAAGATGGGTACATGAACCTGCATAACTTACACGAGTGGCACGTAGCAAACCCACATTTGATGAGAGAAGATAAATCTCAATATCGCTTCAAGATAAACCATTGGACAGGAATTTTAAATGGTAAAATAATCGGTCCGTTTGAGTTCCCAGAGACTTTGACTGCTGAAGTTTATTTGAATTTTTTGAAAAATCATGTACAAAATTTATTGGTGGACGTGCCACTGAGTATTTACAGGGACATGTGGTTTCAGCATGATGGCTGCCCAGCGCACTATGCACTCTCAGTGAGAGAGTATCTCGATCAAAACTTTCCAGGCAGATGGATAAGGCGGTCTGGTACAGTACCGTGGCCAGCCCGATCACCTGATTTGAATCCTTTAGATTTTTTTACTGGGGAACTGTAAAAGAAAAAGTGTATTTCAAGCCGATTCAAAATGTAGCTGAGCTACGGCAAAGACTATTAGAAGCAGCTGATTTTGTTAACAACCGTGGATTCGCTCGTTTAATAACCCGATCTTTTTTAAGAAGATGTCGAACGTGTATTGCGGCTGAAGGAAAACAGTTTGAGCATTTGCTGTAAAGGTAAATCATCATCAGCAGCATTTGACGCCCACTGTTGTGCAAACAGTTATCCTTAAGGGTCCTTGTGCGTTTTCATAATCGCTGTTTAATTAGGAAATTTTGAAAAATTTTCATCAGTTTTTTTTTTTTTAATTGTGCATAAGTTAACGAGCAATCTTCTAAGTGTTATACCATTTTGGAATCGTTATTAAATGCGCCAACTTTTAAGGTTACTTGCCAAACTCTCGTAGTACATTTTTTTCCAGTACAGCCAGTTAAAGTTGAGCGAAGTTTTACTTTGGAATACTTGGTTGGGAAATAAGTGGCAATTTTTCCTGAACGAGAAAAGTTGGCAGTAAGGTTGAGACACCAGTTTGAACATGCATTATTCATCATTACATTGTAAAAATAAAATCCAAAAAAAGTTAATATTTGTAGTAACAGGAGTTGACAGACTGCCGTAGGGTGTGAAATTTCTATATCTTTTTCAAAGACCTATAATTTTCAAAACACATACACACATTTTTTTAAATATTTTTCTGATAGCTGTTATGACTTTGCCTATCACCCGGTTTCCGGTTGACGTCGACTTCTGGGACACCCTGTATAATCTAGCATCCAGAGAAAACATAATGTCGCATTTTCAGAATATAAAAATGTTTGTTTATTTTTTCTTTGTCCTGTTTACTTTGTATATTACAGTGTGTACCTGTTTCTACATACACAAAGCCATTTTCTTCTGTGCTACGTCCTAATTCGGACTCATTGGTATCGCGTTGCACTTCAAATAACTCTGTTCATCCTGTCAACTGTAAAGTTGCTTCTCGGAGGCGAATCATGTCGATGCTGAGCCGGGTGTATTCAAATAGGAGATAATTGGAGTCAATTTTACGCTGATTGGCTGCCAATAAACTGTAACGAGCTGGGATTCGATATTTGTTACTGTATCGACTCATCTTTCAAGAAGATCCGGTGGAACTTTAACGGTATCGATGACACCAATAAGAAGGTTGTATAAGGTGGTATGACCTTGGATAAGTACATAACTAACATCCAGGGATTGTAACCTTACTTTTGTATACAAGTAAGACAGACCGAAGCGCCAACTGATTGAGACTTTATATAATCTCTATATATAAATATGCTCTGATTTCGTCATTATATCTTGCATTACATGTCTTCATTGTAACCCTCGTTGCTGTCAAAATGCAGGCTGCAAGCGATACCAACGAAAAAAGATTCTTGGAGACAACAAACCAATTTCTGTCTATGTAATTTCTTCGTCGATTGACCTATATCGGCGTCCAATAGAATGTTCTGAGGGGACAGGAAGACGAGTCGACGTGTAATTTCAATTCTCAAGGCTCTTTAAAAATAATTGAATCGCTTTATGACGCCGCCTTTGCCTCCCCAGGCGATGGGAATGTCATCGTTCAAGATAGCTGAATACACGGTGACTGCGAAAAGTTGGTAACTTGTACATTGAGCGAAAAGTCATACAAGTCGCCTGTGTTTCCCGCCATTCACTCCATGTCACCACAGATTATCAGTGCACTACAAGCTGCAGATAATAGAGTTTTCAATGCAACTACTATAACGAATCGTTGAGCTTTTTATTGCGTTATTTTTGACAGCCATAATAATAATAATAATAATATTTATTTACTCAATGTACAAAGATAACAAACAATATGAGTAAATAAATATAAAATCAAAACAGGCCCAATAGAAGGCATCGCCTGTACATGGACCAATAATTTAAGTTGAAACTGTAGAATGCAAATGACAAAAAAGGACAAAAATTAGCTACAGTAGATTATGTATTTAGTTGATGTTCGTATTTATGAGTTTATGAATTTCAGTCCTAGATATAGAATGAAGCCACTTTTTTAAATTTCTTTTGAAACAATTTCCGAAACGTAAATCTTTTAAGTCTTTAGGTATAATTTCATAAAATTTATGCGCTAAATAGAGATATGATCGCTGCATTATAGATTTATGCGGTTGAGGAACTACTGTGCCACGAATTTTATATCTGGTATAATGATTATGTTTAATTTTTTGGTCGGTGTTTACAAATTTATGGTAGTGAGTGATACTGTGTAAGAAATAAAGCTGTCTTATATCATACATTCGAACATCTGCATATAATTTTTCAGTGGGATAAAGTTTCGGTTTTTTAAATATCATTTTTAGAATACTTTTTTGAAAAACATGAGATGAGGCTCGATCAGTGCATGGTATAATGTTTGAAGATATTTTTCTGTCAATATATTCCCAAGGTATTTAATTTTGTAGGATACAAATCTAACTTTCTTTAAAATATAATTGACATGGATGTCCCATCGTAAGTGAGGATCCAAGACCACTCCAAGGTATTTTATGTTGGGCACTCTATTAAT